GATTGCTGCATAGGTCCCATCCCATGTTCACCCCATTTGTCCTTCCTACATGTGTAATTATGGTTAAAAGGAAATGGGGGTGATACTGGATAACTGCCGGCTAATATGCAGTTACATTTGCTAAATAAAAGCTCACCCTTAAGTGTACATGTAATAATTATTTGTGAAATGTGTCAGCAGTAGTGAGTGGATGGCAATGCTAGGATATAATGCTGCGGTAAAAACAACAACTAAATGCTGGTAATTGGAGAAAAATTTCCTGTTAGGTGAACTACAGCTATAAAAGTGTTTGCACTTTTTTTGGTACATAATCACAGTTAACAACTATTGTTTGTAACAGTAGAGTGTAAACATAATGACTGAAATAGAAAATTACAAGTAGCAATGTCATTAAGGATGCAGTTCATGAGGATTACGAAAGTGATCATGCCTTATGTTTATTGAATGTGTGGGCATTCACCATAAAGCACTGAATCCATGTAAAAAGTACAAATTTTTTACCACTTAGGCAAGTGTTCATAGTTATTCGTGTACATACATAAGAAACAAATCCCCATACAAGAGTGAATTTGTATGAAATGTCCTTAAACAAGTCATGTTGAAGGCGATCAGTTTCTCCATTGGTCTCAGTTCTAAACATGCATGAGCTTGTTGAGACAGTGCCAGGATCATAGATTTTGAATTTCCCACTCTGACACGAGTCAAATGAACACTTTCCCAGATCGCTCGACCCCGCTCGTTTCAACGCCCTGATAAAATTCCTGACGAGATGTTATTTACGTGCGAACTCACGAGGACCGGCTATGATACCCTGTATGACATGCATTTATCGTGAATGTAAAGCTAAGTACAGGATGGAATGATCTTATGGGAAACCCTATATGAATACCTGCTTGCATGTCCTTTTCCTTTCTTGAAACAATCTTCTTCTGCCAATGGAACAAATGTTTTATTTCTCTGAATATGTCACCTCTCTCTGACTTCTTTCAGGGGCACCCAACGAGAATATAGTTCAAAACCACTTAAACATAGCATTGTTAAACGTATTTTAGTATTTAAACGGTAGATATACGCATATTTTTTTCCCCTAAAAATTTTTCATCTGTTCGGATTTCCTAAGTGAAAGTCTAGTGATCCGAAAATCATAGGGATCAAAACTTACCTTTTCGAAAATTTTAGCCAGAAAAAAGGCTCCAGAAAATTCTAGGTGATCTTTTTAGGGTAAAAATCCGTTAAAAATGGGCAATTATACCATTTTTTAGATGTTCGAAAATCCTAGGAGAGGCAGGCAAGCAAGAAATTTTACAACAAATGTTTCGAAAATTCTAGATCTAAACTCGTCTTCCGAACAGATATTCTTCCGAAATTGTCGTTGGGTGCCCCTGTTCTTTGAAAGAGTGAAAATTTTATGAGTGACCTCTTAAATTTTCCCTAACAGCGAAAGGAATTTTAATTCCTTAATTTAATTTTAAAACGTTCCTGGCATGGCAACCATGTCACACACTAATTCTGAGGATATCCGAAATACAGATCAAAATGTTCTTTTCGAATAATAGGAACGAAAATATAGAAGGCCAGCAATAACCGGTGTATGACATTTGCAGACTGCAGACTGCAGACTGCATGAGGCACAGCAAGACTGTTAATTGAATGAAACCAAAAATATCGCAATAAAGGTGGCTTCATCATCAACATTACCTTGTTCCGAGAAGTAAGTCCTAGAAGCGAAGTTTATATTTTTCATGCAAATTACACAGACCTCATTCCTAAAGGAGCTGTTGGCTATTCTTTTCGTATTGAATTAGAACAGAATAATGCCTGCCGATGTCACAAACTTGCTCATGATTCCATAGTAACAGTCTAGCAATTTAGCCTACACCACAGACGAAATTAAACTACGGTTATATAAGTCTGTCTGAGAAACAGCGCCGGAATCCTTATCATACGGGGTCCCCACCTGTGTACTTGGACTTGAGTATGAGCAATGATTTTCCTATTTAGAAATTCAAAATGCAGTTCTGGTAATTCGTCGAGTCCAGGTAGGATCTGTTCATTTTAGATTATGTGGCATATCCCTATATACTGCTAAGATGAAATACGTCATTTAAAAGGTGTTAAAAGTCCTTGATCTATCCTATTTGTTTTTGTCGACGTAACTGTAGTGAGCACGAAGTGCTCGCAATCTAAAAACGTTTTTAACAGAAGACTACTATTTAGGCAGGCATTCAGTGGGCATTGCTACTTGTCATTATCAATTCACAATAATCAAAGAAGAATAAAGAATCAACGCAACGAGTGATATGCCGGGTGAGTTGAGAAAGGGTCGAAGAAGAATAGCCAACAGTATCTTGGGAATGAGTCCAATGTAACTTTGCGCAAAAATATCAACCAGGCTACTTTCTCACTTTCACACGAGGTTATATTTTTGATACGTCACCTTTATTAGGAAGATTTTTGGTGTCATTTAATTTACAATCTGCAGTCTGTGATCTGAGCTGTCTGCAGTCTGCAGTCTGCAGTCTGCAAATGTCATACACCGTATATATTTTACTTCAATTACTTATGAAGGAAATTGAATCAAAATTGTAAGCGTTCAGTAAGGATTTTGTTCACAAATGTAACGCTTCCCTACATGTCACACAATCGGTGTTCTAAACTGTTCATTGTAAAATAAAGCTTACTGTAAAACGGTGAAAAGGCTGATCGGCTGTCCTCAGTCCGTTGGAAAGATACTCCGAATGTCGATTTTACAGATGGTGTAATTCTTGCTTCCTATCGTTGCATCGAAGAAGATAATTTTGACTGTAAACTTGCCTCTCTTCGGCTTCGTTGCGAATTCTATTGACTGCATTTTGCTGAAACGTCGGCAGCCTGTGTTCCCTCACTTCGTGGGCTTCGTTTGCAGTGTAATTGTAGTATTTTGTTGCTGCCTCTTTACATATTCGTGGTCGCTGTATAGCCTCTGTCTCTAGTTGACAGTGTTTGCCTTCGCTGTGCTGTTTGCTCGCGCTGAATTTAAAGTCGACGTTCTCTCCCACCAAGGATTTACAGCCACTTGTTGAATCCACCGTTGCTGAGTTTGCTGTTCTATTTTATTTGACTGACACTGGGTGGTGATTCACCGACCGTAAACATTGTTATAATTCACAGATGAAAAAACCCGTCTTTATGAATATAACCCGGAGCACAGGGAACCCGAACGCTGTATTAGCTAATAGAAAAATTTGATGTATGTTTGCTGTATTAGCTAATAAAAATAATAAGATGTATTTACCTTTGTTCCTGTGTCCTTATGAGTCGTTTTAGAAGGGATTTGAATCCGATCAGAGAAGATTAACATTGCTGGTCATCAAGATACGTTTGCTTGTCTGGCGCGTCGTAAATAAGACGCTCAAGTTTCCTCTCACGTTTCTAATATTGTTAATATTGTTCACGCTTGAAGAGATACGTAATGCATCGACCAAGTTAAAAACTTGCTAGGCAGCCGGAAATGATAGTATATCTAATGAGATGATCAAATCAAGCGTGTCCATCATTGGGCCTGTATTGCAAATCCCTTTTAATAAAGTTTTGCATTCCGGTATATTTCCCCAGTTGTGGTCGGTGGGTTATATTTCACCCGTCTTTACAGCCGGTGATATAGCCGACCCTAATAACTATCGCGGATTCTCTACCCTAACAAGACGGTACGGAACGTACACTTCGACGTCGTGGTTGTGGAACTGATTAAGTGTAAATGCGGAGGAATCACTGGGTAAGAAATGAAATATGGTAAGAGTAAGGTCTTAATTTGTGAAGTTATGGGATTTGCCAGGATATTCTAAAAAGAGCAACATCCAAGAAGTCTACTTGCCAAAAACTAGCATTTCGGTACAAATTGTGTCTGAGATATTAGCCCAGTTATACTCTGATGACTCCATACAAATCCTTCTAAATCTGACTTGGGTCTAAACGTTTAGACCTAAGTCAAATATGAGGTTACTGGCGGCGAATACCAAGTCTAACAAAACAAACAGTGATAAAATAGTCTTAGTCACATCAGGCTTCAAAAACAGCATAGCAGTCTCATGTACTGATTAAAGATATGTAAGGCATGGGTAAGGAGTCAATTACGTTGAGCATGGAATTGGCTAAACCTCAATTAGTCAGGGAGCATATGTCATTCATAAAATAAATTTCCGTGGGATTTTTATGGTGAAAGCAAACAACCTACCTAGATGTGTTAAGGGAAACCTGAGGAACACAAAAAATATTGTCGGCAATATTGTAACCTGCACCGGCGGTCGTTATGGGGGGTCTGTTTTTAGACCAATATGGCTCAACATGGAATCGAGGCTCTAATATAAAATGGCGTGTAAATACAATTAACTACAATAAATTTCCACAAAAATACCCGAAACCTTTAATATAGTCGATCTAATACATATCTAAAGACTTAAGTACTAAATACTGATCACATGATCAACACTACACGAAAGCGAGGCTGGTCATTTGTTGCCTTCAAATAAGCATCAAAGGCATCAGTTTTGGTATCGAAAATTGATCAGAGTGTTAAATTTATCAAAGTGAATATTATTTCATGTTTAAAAATTATATTCAAATCAATAGCTCATTGAAACCAGGAAAAACAATGATTTTGGTCAGCGGTCATTTTCATCATTTTAGAGGTCCGCCATGTTGGATTTACAGACCATCTAGAGCGACATGTTTTGTGGTGTTTAAGAAGATATGGAACCGGATTCTGGTTCAAAAACAAACGAAATTGAGGCCCAAGGGTTGGATTTACATTTATGTATAATTTTTCAAAGGAAAAAAAAAATCTAGTTGAAAAGCCCGAAGCTCATGGAAAAGTTTGGGTATCGATCGAGGAATGGAGTAAATACGGCAATCCGCAGTACACAGAAGTGTGGAAAAAGTTGAGGTTTACTTCTGTCCCAGAGCTCGAGGTTGGGCGGGCATCATGGCATAGATCATGTTATAAAGATGCAGTACATGCGGAGATGCTTAGACGAGCAAGAGAAAGGTATGAGAGGCAGCTCGAAGACCCCAATGAGTCCAGGCGAAAATCACGACCAGATTCATCAGTAGGAATTCCTCAAATAACCCCTTCGAAAACGTCTCTCTACAATAAGAATGTCTCTTTTTTCTGCGATGGCCCACCCGGTTACCGTGAGAACCTTCATAATATCAGTACCTTTTCTGCTGGTGAGTCCCTTCGCACGGCCATTGGGATGTTAGGGAATGATAAGTTCTCGGTTAAGCTCAACACATCAATTGCTCCCGATGATGCTCATTCGATAGATATAAAGTACCAGAAAAACTGTTGGGCAATTCATGTATCGCACGTTTTACGAAGAGAAACATCCGAATCATCGTCTGAGAAGTTGGCTGGTGAGATTGCAGCCCAAATAGAATTCCTGACTATGACAGAGATGACTTTGAGGAATGGAAAAGTGGCGACTATGTCCGAATTACAAGATGCTTTTGAAAGCATACTAGAATCTAACAATGTGGAAAATCCGAGGGGCGGACGAAAGGCCTTGAAGCAGTTACTACTCCGAGAGATACCAGAGATGGAGTGTCATGCACCTAACCGTGTCAATGAGTCCGAGCGAGTCAGTATCAAGAAGACGAGAGATGAAGCAATTCAGATGACTGAGGATCAGACCGCAAACATAGACGCCGATATGCAAACTCTGTTTGATGCCGCCGCAATAATTGGGAAATCTATCACCAAATGTAGGAAGTGGAAGTTAACAGGTTCACTGGAAAACTTCCCTAATGAGAATGTACCAGCAGCGATTTTTAGTTTTTTATAGATGGATTATATAAGGCACAAAACATGAGCTTTCTGCTGGAAAGAAATCTGAGGAAGTGTTCAATCCTGCAATGGCTCTATCTCAGACCACTGTATCGATGTGTTTGACTGAGAGGCAAGTCAAAAACAAGAAGTCTGGTGTCGTAAGATCCTCCTCGGAAATGCCGTGGCAGTTAGCCGTTGGGACAGCTGAACACCAGGCTGTGAGAAACAAGCAGCTCATAACCATGCTACATAGATTTGGAATATCAGTGGACTACAACAGGATCTTGAGAGTAGAGGCCCAAACCGAAGCTAGCGTTCTAAAGCGCATGGAGCTGAATGATGGTCTATATATGCCCCCTGATTTAGTTTTGGGTAGGCACGTCTTTTTTGGGTTCGATAATGTGGATTTCGCAGAGGACACTCCTGATGGCAAGAATACCTTCCACTGCACATCGATGGCAATCTACCAAAGGCAGGAACCAGGCGATGTAGCACCAGAGCTGACCGTGGATCCAGGAGATCAGTGTCGGAAAGCCTGTTGTTCCTACCTTCCCCCAGCTTGGATTGTGTACCGAAGACCAACTTCCCCTTATTGTACATGAAGAAGCAAGATTTCACATGGCTTCTCGGACGCAGTTTGACCAGAACGATCACCAATACCGACATCCCAGTATGGTCTGGCTATAACTCCACTATGAGTAGTTCCATGCCGTTAAAACGAGTTGGCACCCCTCCCCTGATCGATGCACCAGCACACGAGTAGCAGACTGTTTACCATTTTGATGCAAGCACAGAATATTAAGACGACTTGACATGGGACTGTATCAACCGGCAAAGAAGTTGCAGATGACCCGTCAAGATCTTGGGCATATAATACATCGTTCCGGGGAGCTACACATCGTGATGGCCCAATTTCGGACAATCGGTTTATTCATAGAAAATAGCGGGCTGGACATGTGCTTGGTCGAGTCTGATCTCTATGGGCCTTCCACTATGAAGCAGATTCTCGGTGGGAACCACGTCAAGAGAGGAGCAGCAACGCACATGGTTATATTACAAGCTCTATTCAGCCTCTACCAGGAAGCAGGAAGCCTTCTTCGTGAGACACCCAGCTGTGTGCACTATTTTCGAGAAGTCGGCTAACCAGTTAAGCGATGCGTGTAAAAAAGGCGACAAACAAGATATTACCGCAAAGCACGGAGAACTGGCACAGACCATCACTTCAACAGAGCTTGCGGCAAAGATGGAGCAATTTGATGCAGATAATGAGGATAGTCCACTGTTCAAGTTCACCCGAGGGTACATCGCAATGGTTATGGAGATGATGACGTTTATCAGAGCCGTGCGGACTGGACACTGAGATCTCCATTTAGAAGCCTACAGTTATTTGTGAAGTACTTCTTTGCGCAAGACATGTTAAACTACGCTCACATGATTCCTGTTTACTTGGCAGAGATGAAGATAGTAAAGGAGACCGATCCCGAAATCTACCAGGAGTTCCAGAATGGTAACTGGGTGGTGAACAAGAACTCAATGGTAGCATTCTGTGCCGTTGGCGCCGACAACGCGCCTGAACACGTCAACAGATCAATGAAAGTCTCAGGTGGATTGATTGGCATCACGCTGAACCCTACTGCACGCACGAAGTATTTTTGATTGCACCTGGGTTAGTAAGGTTGGCAGAACAAGCCAAGCTGATGGCAGGTACTTCTTCCAACACATAGACTAGCCATCACAACCACACCATTGCTGTCAGGTTACGTGAAGAAAGAAACGTCCAGCAGCTGACCGCTAGTATTCCACGCTTCACTAACCCGTTTACAGTAGAAGGCCCTGACCTGATGATGAATGATTCTTACCTGACATCCATGTTCTATAGACCGCAATGCATTATGAGATCAGTTGTGCTACTTTTAAAGCAGTTATCATCGTCAAAGGCCTGACTAAGTTTTGCGTAGTAATAATTATATATATCTGTAAACCTGCTATGGTTAACATGACGCCCTCGGAGCAAGGTTGATAATAGCTAACATATCGCATAGCTAAGGCCTGGACTACGCATCAAGCCAGCGTCGTGCCGAACTTAATTCCATTTGGTTTGACGATTAGCGCGGCAGTGGTTCTAAACGCCAAATTGGTTAGTTCTGTTTTCATAATCCAGTTGTATTTCTTCCTCGCACTGAAAGCGCCAATTTTCGGAAAGGAATTAGGTTCGGCACAACAATGGCTCGACGCTTAGACCAGGCTTAACAAAGGCCGGCGAGCTCAGCCTCACTTCTATGTCGTCTCGTGTGAACAACATACATATTCAAATGTAGTTCATTAAACGTCGCCTCAAAGACCGTTTTAATGAACACAGACGACCTATACTCAACCCTACTGGTAATTACATCCATACTGCAGTTTCAGAACACTTTCTTACCAGTAATCATTCCGACAATCATATGCTTTTGATTCCTATTGAAAAACTTAAAAATTGGCGTGATTCTTTCAGGAAAGCACGTGAAGCCCACCTTATCCATAAAGCTAAGACAATTTAGCCTCTCGGCATCAATAAACGTGATGAACTGTAACTATGTATAGTATATCTTATATTTTTTTGTTATCTTGTCTTTTTGAGTAGCCACACCATACCACGTCATATTGTGTAATTTCCGGTCATTATTTTACTTTATACATATTTCTGTAAATTCGTGATATCTCAATAAACCTGATGAAGACTGGTATTGGCCAGTCGAAATATCGCAACTTACTCTATTTCACGTTGTTTGATCAGTCCCTGCAAAAGTCTCCTTGACTGTAACGTTTTCAATTTTATCTATTTTGACTGATCACGATCTTTTTGGATCCGACGTTGAGCAAGATTGTTCGTACACGGTTTTGCCGTTTTTTTTACCTTAACTAAACATTGAACAAAACATATTATCATGTAGTTCACTTGTTGAGTCATTTTTCTGAACAACTTCAGAAAAAGAAATATGCTTTTGATGTTTATTTGAAGAGAACAAACGACCAGCCTCGCTTTCGTGCAGTGTTAATTACGTCATCAGTATTTAATACTTAAGTCTATGGATATGTATTAGACAGACTATATTAAAGGTTTCTGGTATTTTTGTGGAAATTTATTGTAGTTAATTGTATTTACATCCCATTTTATATTCGAGCCTCGATTCCATGTTGAGAGATGTAGGTCTAAAAACAGACCCCAATAGCGGCCGCCGGTGCAGGTTACAAAATTGCCGATAACATTGTTTGTGTTCCTTAGGGTCCCCTTGACACATCTAGGTAGGTGGTTTGCTTTCACCATAAAAATCCCACGGGATTACATATGCTCCCTGACTAAATGTTACGAGTTCGAATGTTTTGAGGATAATTTTTCACTGACTACCAGCACCCAGGGATGTCGGATTAACTCGAGGAAGTTTAATACCAGAGGAACGTAGCCTTTACAGAGCTTTAAAAAACAGCATCCGCCAACACAGACTTGACTTGAACTTAAGTAAAAAGAAAAAACGAAGTCAGATTTGAATCTTATCTTGATTTAATAAAGAACGTTAAGAAAAGAGTAGCAGTAACCAAAATGCGTATTTCTTGCCACTTGCTACCTATTGAATCTGGGCGCTACAAGAAGATACCCAGAGTTGAGAGGCTTTGCCCCCTTTGTAATAGATCCGAAAGTAATGATGAATTCCACTATTTGTTGAAATGTACCCACTCATCACTTTCTCACAGGGGTATCTTCTTGGAGAGCCTATACTCGATAAACAGTAATTTTACGAATATGTCTTACAAGGCACTATTTTTATATATCATGTCCATGTGCGATCAAAACATCTTAAATCTCAGTGCCTCTTATATTGAAAATATTCTAAATTGTTATGCATCCGAACCCTAATTAAACTCTCTTAACATACGAGTAGCGTAGAAGCCGTACATAGCCAAGTATTTTTTTTTCTTTTATGACAATATTCAATTATTCCTTTCTTTCTTACTTAACTTTTATTTTACTTTTTTTTTCATTTGTTATTGTTTTGGTACTGAAGTCTTCATATCGAAGATAAAGTCAATAAAGTTGTTGTTGTTAACTGTTAACTTTCCCCTAACATCCACGAGAAGACCATTAAATTGAAACTCGAGATCATCTCCTAAGGAGATCGAGAGTTAATAGTTAACATAACAATATTAGAAAAGTCGCCGTTAGAGGAGAGTTAATAGTTAACAATATTAGAGGAAACTTGAGCGTCTTATTTACGACACGCTAAACAAACAAACGCATCTTGATGACCAGCAATGTTAACCGTCTCTGATTGGATTCAAATCCCTTCCAAAACGACTCATAAAGACACAGGAACAAAGGTACATACATCTTATTATTACATTAGCTAATACATCAAACATACATCAAATTTTTCTATTAGCTAATACAGCGTTCGGGTTCGATGTGCCCGGAGCTTTGTCATCGATCGTAATCGGTTGTCTGGAAACCCATAATGCACTCTGACGTGACTTCGTGGATGACGTCAAGGCGGACACCAACCAAATAGCCAAGCGTCTTGTCGAGCGCTAGCGACCTACAAACTTCAACCATCATTTTCAGCGTTGGTGAAACCAGATAACCATGTGGTGCAAAAGTTTGACACTAGAAAAATCGAATAAAGTGATTTTTTCTCCATCTTTTTTGTCTGTTTCTACCTTTTTGCTTTTAACTTGGCGCGACGGCAAAGTTATGCTTACGCAATTGGTTTATATACTAGACTGGAAATAAAAAGCTGGCGGATGTAAATTTTGTGCTCATGCGCAGTGCGTTTTGCCGCGGTGTTGGCTTGACCAATAGCAGAGCGTCAAATTGGTCACCGCAAGTTTTGTTCAGTCCTTTTCGCGCGCTTTCCCATCGTCAACTGACGTTCCCGTCCTGTCGCTAAATCAGCCTAAATTGTGTACGTCCGCGTGGGCCAAGGGGCGTCTTACAATACAGGCGGGGATCGGGATGACCAGCTTGTTTTTGTTTGTTTGTTTTATGGTCTTTATCGAGATCTTTAAGTTTTGAATTAGAAACAGATTATAACTGTTGGCAACTTTCCATACGTCGTAAGCATTAAATTTAACAACATCCTCATAGCTTCTTTGGTTATTGCTATGATCATACACTGTCGTTGACACGGGAATTGAGCAACAACGACAGATGCATGTCATACTTAACCATTATTCCACGAGTGCGCGTTGGATATGAGGTGGTAGATAGCCAACGAGGCGCAGTTGGCTATAATCATCTCATATCCAAACAACAAGCGCGAGGGCAAGTTGTTTTATTAAAAACGCCCATGAAACATCGAGAATTCTTTCCGACTTTATTTGTAAAAAACAACCGACTTTCAGCTTGTTCTTAATTTTAAGTAGACGCATACAGTTACCATATTTGGAGAACATGGTATATTGGCTCATATACCATGACGGCTAAGCCGAGTAATCGGAGCTCTAGAATTGCATTATCCGATGATTCAGTTTTTAGTAATAGTTTGTAGTTTTCAACCTCCGCATTACCAGTTATGATTATAAGGCCTTCTCAATCTGTGCTGAAATCACTTTAGTGCCTTAATCCATACAGGCACAAAATGTTTATCTGGCAATGAGAAAGATATCAATCAAATTTCGTTAATTAACGCATCGTAAAAAAAGAAAAGAAATACGCGAAAACAAAAGCTATGACAAGAAATTGATTTTCCCCACTTCACCCCTTCTGAGAGAAGAGCAACATATTTGACTGAAGTCAAACGTTTACTGAGCAATGGACCTTTTAAATTTATCCAAGTATGTTATGTTACAATCAACATAAGCCAACAAAGTTTAAATCCTCTTTATTCCTAATTTTTCCGTATGCGTCACTGATAATCGAAGCTTACACTACTGAATTATCCTTAGACGTACATAAGTGTAGTAGTCTTTAAATTGAAAGCATATGACGGCGTATGCGCGTGCAGTACAATGTACACTACTGACAATAGACTATTTTGCAGTTGTGGACTTAGTACCCTAGCCTTCTTGTGTCATGAATGTGAGGCTGAAGTTAATCTTGTTTTGATACAAACCTCCTTTGCTTTGTTATGGAAATTGTCCTTGCGAATACGAGTTAGCATAAGAATAACTTGATTTACATAATGAAGAATGAAGGTTGTATCAAAACAAGGTCAACTCCAGCCTCGCTTCCATACATAACTGTAAAATGGCCTATTATGGTGAAAATATCAATAGTCACTTAGAGTTCAGATTTTATTCTTGATGTGTTGCTCTGCAATGTTCTTACTTTGCGGTAAACAATTGTAAAAAGTGCTATGAAGCAGCGGTTCAGTCGCGCGTGAAGTGGCTTTTCTCGTTGCCAGTCCGAGCTGAAGTAGAGGAGATTTCTTTTACTGCTTTACTGTTTTCTGTAAGTGCTCCTCAACAAAATAAGGAATGCTATTATTCGGAAGGCAATAATCAAAGACAACAGACCACAGATGTCAATCAGTAGATGATCCTGTCGAACAAAAATAAAAAGTGGCACAATTCATTATCGCCGAGGTCTTTTGAGCGACATAGTTAAACTCGACAACTTCTGCTCCACCTTTTCAAGTTCCGGACAAATAGGAACATACCCACTTTTAAGTCATTCCTTTTCACACCCTCAAAACCTCTCCCCTGTCAAACTGCTGAGTCATCCATCTTTCCATTGAAGCATTTTTTTTATTCCCCATCAAACATTGCTTTGGCAGCCACTGTTCTCGTAAAAGAGGGTTGTATCTTATAACCTTATATGGTATGCCTATATTTGGACATAACCATGTGCTTGGTATCAGTTGCTGTAGAAGCTCAGGGGCACCCAACGTCAATTTTCGAAAAATATCTGTTCGGAAGACGATTTGAGATCTAGAATTTTCGGAACATTTGTTGTAAAATTTCTTGCTTGCCTGCCTCTCCTAGGATTTTCGAACATCTAAAAAATCGTATAACTGCCCATTTTAAACGGATTTTTACCCTAAAAAGGTCACCTAGAATTTTCGGGAGCCTTTCTTCTGGCTGAAATTTTCGAAAAGGTAAGTTTTGATCTCTATAATTTTCGGATCACTAAACTTTCAGCTAGGTAATCCGAACAGATTTAAAATTTTTGGTGGGATAAAAATGTGCCTATATCTACCGTTTAAATACTAAAACACTTTTAACAATACCATGTTTAAGTGGTTTTGACCTATATTCTCGTTGGGTGCTCCTGGAAGCTGCCATCTTGATTATGTATTAAATTAGTTGTGTTCATCAAAACGTGTGTTTAATCGCCTCCGACACTGAAAGGGTTTTTTGAGCGACACACTTGAACGTGATAACCTCTGCTCCACCTTTTCAAGTTTAGAGGATAATTTCCTCCAAATCTTCGTTTAAAGACATTTATAAACATTTTTCATATAATTATACTATAGCAACTGAGAATAAGACCAGCCCGTTAGTAAGTAATTCGTGGTTGATTTCTAATTGCTTTCATTCAAAGTATCACAAATTTTAGCGAAACGAACTCTTCAAGCCATTTTCCACCTCAGGTGGTAATAAAGGCATGTGGACTACTCCATGGATTATTTATACTTTATCGATATTTACCTTATCCAGGCCGCGGGACTCGATAGCCTCTTCCCCATTGCCAATACACGGCAGGTGTGATGCTTTGCCTTTAAAACTGCATGCTGCATAACAAGAACAAAAACGTTAAACTGAGGTATGAGAAAAGTACGATAGCAGGCATTAGCCGTTTTCGCACTAGAGACGCATGATTCATCTCAGAGGGGTGGCGGATCAAGTGGATAATTCCCGTCAGACTGATAATTTTGGTTTTAATATTAAAGACGGATTGTACGTCTTAGAGAAATGTATAGTCCGTCTCTTGTGTAAAAACGGCCATTATGGCCTTCTGTACGCTGCAAACTACTCTTATCTCTTAGTGTTACTTATTTTGGTAGCATTAATTAGTCTATACTAATTACCAGCAATATTGGTAACTTTTAACTGGGTAAAGGACAAGAAGAGTTTATTTTCTCATAGAAAATCATGTCGAGGCAAAATACTCGAAAATTAATTTTGTAACATAACACTGATCGAACGGATCAGTGGAGTGTTTGGGCATAACCCTATAGTACCAGTTCTAGAATCACAATCAGTGTATAGGTGGCTAGGCGCAGCTCATGTATTGATAACGCAGAAAACTTTTTCGCCCTTGGTCGAAAAACATGAGCTGGGACATAACGACACGAATCATTCTGTAGAAGGAAAATTTCTACTGGTGTTTTGGTAGTGGCGAAATAGAAAAAGGGAATCGATACTCGCAGCAAGTTAGGATGTTCTTTAAAGTACATAAATAAATCAATAAATAAACAAGCAATAGATAAATAAATGCAGATGAATGAATGAATGAATGAATGAATGAATAACCTACTTATGTTTCCATAATTGTCCCACTGATTGATAGCCATTGCCTCAAATCCGTAGTTCCACCAGGAAAGAAATTGCACAACCCTTAACCACCATGGTAAAGTTCTGCATATACAATTGCCAACTGTTACATATGAAAAAAATACTTGACCCTAACCGATTGTTACATAAGATGATTTTACCAGTTACAAGTAACTATTACGGGTGAAATTGTTTTGCATCATGTACTTAAAAGTACTGTAAATCAATCAAAAAGCTTGCAGGAAAACTAGCTGTGGAAAAGAGCGACGAAAGTCACGTCAAAATTTGCAGGTATTTATCCTCTGTTACCTCAAATTAACAGGACGTTAAAGAGATAAACTCACGTGTTGTCCTTGAAGAACCCTCCCAGAAGTAAGAATGGTAGAACCATGGGCTCGATGATAGCAATAGATGCTGACGAGGTTGGCGCGAAAGCCGAGATGACGTATGCTAAAAAAGATAACAGATAGCTTCGCAGTCATTTTTAGGGCCTTCACAGCGGTGGTTAGTCGCACTGTACAAAAGCACCATGCTTTGGATACTTGAAAATCACCATTATAAATTATGTGGACTCTATATTTTCCTTACCCCAATACGTTTCTTGCCTGCCAGTCTGGCGGTTTGGTACCTTGTGACTTACCAACTGGAAAGGGCCGACTGCGATTAACCGAGTAAACTTGTTATATTGGCCTCTTCCATGCATCCAGTTATTACATTCACGACGTATAAATATTGATATGTAATGTCTTTACTGGAGAAAGCTCCAGCAGAAATGTCTAAAAAAATGTTTTGTTAAGATTATTTTCATTATGGGCGCTGCTTTTTTTAAATGAACTTACTTAGCGTAAACTTATTCCTTTTTTCCAGTTGCCCAACACTGATTGTCATTTCCTAGTATATACTAACTTTACTTTAACTGAACTTTTTTTGTTGGTAGAGAAATTTGGTTGAGCCCTAAGTACGACAGTGTGAAAGGTATAGGTCCGAATTAGCGAACTCCAGGACACTTTGCTGTAACCAATATGAAGTAAAAAATTTGGTCAACCTGAGCTAGTAAACGCTTTTTTCAGCCGCATGAAATGTCCATAGCTTTAACATTTCATTAGCCTGCGTGGCAGGCGCTTGGAAGTAATGGGCGCAAGAAAGAATTAATGGGGTGCTTCGTTCTCTCTTGCGCTCGTTACTCCCAAGCGCCCGCTACGCACGCGAACATTATATAAAGAAAGCAGCAATGTTCCTACACATAATACTGTGTTTCCCTCAAGACCATAAGCGTAAAATATACTTACTGTAAGAAACAGAGGCCAGACTGACCAAGACAAGTATTCCGTAAGCGAAGAGGAACCTTATAGGATCGGGCCTCAAACCTACACATTGCAAATTTCGAATTAAAAAATGTATGAACTTAACAATCTTAAAAGATGTCAAATAGAATAATGGTTGAAATCAATTTACTAGCGGAGCTCCACGCGCGCGCGAAACATAGCTTAGTAAATCTACCCATCCCAGAAAATTTGGTAATCACGTGACCGTACACCGACCGCCGACCGCCGACCGACCGTCCGTCCGCACCACAGGACACCCAATGTTTACTCTCACACTTTTAGCTAGTTTGGGAGCCCAAGAGAAAACTAATTGCACATCAATGTTGTGATCAATTGACAGCTAACCAAACAGGGCATCCGCTGACCAGTATCATCTGACCGTAACACGGGCTCAAGTGTTGACCCATCGAGGTCGAGTATTTTTTTGAAGTTATCCGCGGACAAATTACCAGTTTGAAATGATCGCAGGCTCAAGTTTATTTTTTCCAAGGATTCATATCAAATATGTTGTGTTTATGTCACTATGGCCCCGTACTATTAGGATTTTGATTTCAAACTGACTTCGGAAGCAGAAATTCAGCCAGTTTTTTAAAAGTACAGGCGAGGAAGACCTTATCTTACCATGGTCACGCGTTGGTCACGCTCTACGTCCAATTTTTATACTCTGATTGGTAAAAATTTGACAGGTGAGTTCATGCGAAAAAATTATGCAGCATCTTGAAAATTGTTTACTTTGACAGCTGAAGCTGAAGAGTTTTGTGTCAACTTGTGATGTTTTTAACTCTCTTTTTTCTTCTGGATGTACAAAATGAAATACAGCTGCTATCAAGAGTCTTCTGTTATTCATGGCTGGTTTGTTTACTGGGTTTTTGGTTGAGAAACGCGTCGCTTGTCAAAATTTGGTAATTCGATTTCGGATGGCATCGTTTTCGTTTTTCACCTTGCTTAATGCGTAAGAGGGTTTAAAAGTCTCAAGCAACTGTGGCCTTCCTTGATAGCTTTCAGGAACTGAATCTCAAATGGTAAGCCTGAGTAACTATTGTATTTGATGTTTGTTTTTGTTATATCTAATTTCATGAAGTCTTGCACAGTTCACGCTGACAGTTTATGCGGCAAGTTTATGCACGTTTGTAGCTGTAGTTTGAGTCAATGATCTGACCGAGTATCAGGTTTGAACAGTTTGATATAAGCTTACAGAACTTTAAAAAGCCTTCAGATATATTTGCTCACCACAGATAGAAAGAAAACGTTCCGAAGACTATTTAGTTAAAAATTTGGCTGTAGAAAGAAAACTTTGAGCGATTTTCTTTGCTTCGAGGAGTTCACCTTGGAAAACAGTAAACACCCGCGCCGGGAAGCCGGCTTATAAAGCTTCACGCCGAGACTCAGGATTGTTAGAGACACTTTAATACTTGTCTTCATGAATGAAAATTGTTATCTCTGTAAATGTTTCACCGAATTATATATATTTTTTTGATTGTTAGTAGTCTCTCTTGCAATTTTAATCGCTTGTCTGTGCCGTTTGTTTTCATCGTTCATGAACATCGCTTGCAGGAGTACTCAAAAATGTCGCGCGTATCAAATGCTTTATAAGATTACACATCGTTATAACTGAAACCATTAAATAACAAAAGAAAATAAATAAATAAATTCGCTATTATGTCGAAGCTTAACTATATTAAAGTTCATTCAAATACTCGACCACACTGACAGCTCGCACTATAGAAACGAGAACCGGCTGGCCATATGGGTGATTTTGGAAATTTTTGAACGGTTTCCCTTTACAATTGATCGTCCTGAATATTGACTGAGTGCAATTTGTCTTGAAAAATTGTGAAATACTGCATTCTGTCCGAGGTCTGTATGATAAATAGTACTGTTTCACCTCAAATGTGATGTATAAAAATTATAAAAGGTTGGTTTAAACACCCCCAGATTTGTTGGCAAGAATTTGCAAAGTAAACCTGTCGAACGCAAAAAAATTCGGCATGATTTGTTTTCCAAGAATTTGTTTTCGCGGCCTAATCTACTGTGATCTTGAATGTGATCGAAGATGTTTGCTATATTTTGGGTGTACATATAAGGTTATCAATTCGATGTAAGATGTTTCACTCTAAGGTAACTTGGCCTTTCCCTAAAAAGTCACATGAATGTGCCCTTAAGTTAACCGATTTGTGGATTACAAGTTTATTTTTTGATTAAAATTATAAATTTATTAATTGGAGCTTCGCTTTTAGCCCTGGCTAAATCTATGTATTATTTACTTTCTGAAGGTGGTGATTAATAAAAACCAGCTGCTCAGCTCTTAAAGAAAATACAAACAAACTAACAACAATAACTTACAGCAAGTTAAAAACAGCCGGGACAATGAGTGTGTAAAACATAATGAAGGGATTCTGTATCAACCTACCTGCCATCCAGTATCCAATAGCAATCATCAAAAGAGGGCCAAAAACAAATTGAGGTACCTATGAGGTTGTTAGATGGGGATTAAAATCTTTACAATATACAGTAGCTTGCAACACAATGTAGAGGGTTTTCGCATGACGCAACGGTGGCCATAAGTTGGTGTTCGAAAACGATGAAACGGTGGCCATGTTGGTGTTCCAAACCAATCCCGTGGGAGTCGAACTCTTTTCTTATGTAAATGCTTTCTTTTGTTCCGATAAATTTGTATAGGCTGGTCACGTGAGTGATAACGCTCTATGAACTGAATTTATATGATAAATAAAGATGCATTTATATGTATGCAGCCTGCAGGACACACGAGAAAAATTTCTGGGAGAACAAACAATGTGTCGAGTCGAAAATTATGGCCTGTTTGGTTCAAAAATGCTAAATGTTAATTCAAAAAATCTTAAAAATACCAACAGGGCAGGATAGTGTGAATTTAGTTAATTGTTCATATTTTCGAACTGTACGCTTAAAATTGGCTGAACAATTTAAGTACTGACAAACTCACTTCCACGATTTCTAGTGATTTTTTAAGCAATAGAAAACGTTTTCTGTGTTTGCATAGCTTGATATAAACAAGACGGGGGTTGGGAGAATTCGAGAAAGTAATGCAAACCCGAGACGAAGTCGAGGGTTTGCATAACTACTGTCAAGTGTTTATATCAGGCTATGTAGACTATGTAAATACAGAAAAAAAAGATTTTCTATTGCTTGTATAAATTAACCTTACCGAGAAAAAAACAACAAAATTCTTTGTTATGGCTCTGATTAAAAGAGAAATTCTTACAAGTCGCGAAGTCTTGTACACGTAATCTTGCACGCATAATCAATTCTTGTTTTGCAAAAAAAGCTGCTTTCCAAAATACGGATTTTTCTCGCTTAAAATGTCAGCTTAAGCGAAAAAGTTGACACATCACGTTTGTAAAGATTTTCAGCCGACGAGGGAATGGGTAAATAAAGTAAACTTGTCCAGTTTTCAACCCAAAAACTTTTTCAAATTCGTGCTTTCGTGTAGCCTGCGAACAGCAGACGTTTCTCCTTGCTCATCACCGTTGAGGGACGTTTCGCGAGGAGAAACGTCTGCGACTCAGCGACAGAAATTCTATACTGACGTAAATCACTGTTTACATAATAAATCCTGTAGTCATGAGGTTCCAAATGCAAATTTGTTCAATTTTACGTTTCTCCTGGTCGATTTTGGAAAAGTGTTGCGTTCATCTGCGAATGAGCTCCAGCAAAATTTAAATGCTTCTTCTAGAGAATACTTTATTCCACACATATTGACTGTTTTGTCAGAGATTCATCGCGTTTACATTTGACCTTTGCCGCCTTTTGTCTTTTGTCTGTCATTCGTAATCAATAGCTAGAACAACGAAACTGCTCCGTCGACCAATTAGCGCTTCTGACCGGGATTCCGGACAGATTTTGCGTCATCAGTAAGGAATTTCTGTCGCTGAGTCGCAGGCGTTCCTCCTCGCGAAACGTCCCCAGCGGCGATGACGTGATTAGCGCGAGAAAAGCAAAACATCTTGACGTCACTACCATGTTTACACATACTCTCATGCAAACACGCCTCTCGGCCAATCAGAGCGCGCGTACTATTTTAGTTATTTTACAAATATAAGTGGTGTGTCTGGAACATATCTGACGCTTACCTGAGCAAAGGTTTTGCAAAGGAAGTAAATATCCGTTCGATACATCCCGCTATGGTTATCTCTTAAAAATACCCTTCGCTCCTCTGGAAATGTCTGGTCAAAAGCAAAAACAAGTAGAGATATGCTATATCGCGGTAATTCTAGAATAAATTACCTCATTGAGATTGTTTTAAGTTACTATGGGATGTACGTATTCCAAGTGATCCTTTTTCACATCTTAAAATACCTAACACGAAATACAATGCTAACATACTTGTAAAGTATAAATTGCAAACAACGAAATCACTGAGGGAGCTCCTTACCGTCAAAATGTTTTGGTGACATATCTAGTCTCGTGTAAAGAAAAAGTAGGGACAATGGTATAGCTTCATGTATAGCTGCAGTACATGTCTTTCTAAAAGACAATAAACTCCCCACGAGGTTAGACTGTACAGTCTAACCTCTCCTTACGGACACCTCTATGATACGGACACCTCTCTATTACGAACAGTTCGTTTGGTTCCAAAAATGCCAAAAATCATACATTCCCTACCTCTACAATACGGACACCTCTGTAAAACGGACAGTTGGTTCTGTCCCTTTGGTGTCCGTATTAAACAAGTTTGACTGTACTTACAAATACGACTGAGTAGACCTGAATGTATGAAGTCGACGTAATAAGGTAGAACATTACACCAAAGACGTTATAAATGCCATCCTGACCATCGCATGATTGAAAGAAAAAGAGTCCAGTCATAAGTCCTGCAAACTTAAAATGGTTTAACAGTTACAGCCAGCCACATAAGAAATGATGCGTGGAAAACTGAAGCGAGATATCATTAGGATTAACTGAAGCCTGGTCTCTCTCCGCACTGACCGTACCTCTCTTAGGCAAACACTTCTCTTAGATAGACTGGTCTCAAAAAAAAAGGGGAATCTCTATTCACTTTCATATGTACATTTGTACTTCAGTCCAATTTGGGCAACGCTGGACAACGTTCAATGTATAAAGGTGAAATCCTCGCCAAACTTGACGGCTCAAGGTTGCTTGTAAAATTTTTAACAAATCACACCAAATGATTCTAAAATCCACCTGACTTTTGCTTCATTTTTGATTCGTCTTAGGGAGATTTTTGAAAGCATTATGTTAACAGCAAAAAACCAATTCCTTACCCCTGTGGCAAAACAACTCTAAATAACTGCATACAGAAATCAAATAGAGAGCGAAGAACGGCTACTCTTCACGCGAAATATTCATTTGTTATACCAGGAAAGGATTTCTTTCTTGAGATACCCTCAAGTCATCAATAATATATAGATTTAGCCAGGGCTAAAAGCGAAGCTCCCGATACCCTTTGTAGTTTGTTCAAACAAAATGTAAAATCGTGTAATGTTAAGCGGTGAAGGCAACGCCGGAGAATGGTGAAAAACAACAATAGGTCTAATTAGCAAAAAAGCAACTTTGCAACTGCAGCACACTTTTTTCAACATTTCTTTGCCGTTGTTTTGCCAGACTACAAGGTGAAACTTGCAGAAACTTCGTAGTTACACCTTTTATTGAGAAAGTGTCGTACGCGTTCTCGTTCATTTTTTTTTACTGCCGCTCATTTTCACCTTGCATTGGTGGCCGCCAACATTTCCCATTTTGTCACCTCCGCTAGAAAATTTTCATGTTGTTCTTCCAACAAAAAAATGTCTCATTTGTTTTCTATCTCTCGCTCTAGACCTCCAGCTCTGTCGCCCTTTTTCTCGTTGAGCTTCGCTGGCCTGCCGCCTACTTTTTCTTTTTCTCGGTCTTTCTCCTGCTCTATATTCCAAATTTGTGCACATGACAATTAATCTAAACTAAATACTTTAGACAACACGGATACAGAAACAATTTCCGCTTTCCGTTTTCCTCTTTATTGAGTCTTCAGTTGTCTTTGCTTTACAAGACGCCGGTAGCTATACGATTTCCTGCCAAAGTAACCGCGAGTTACATTTAGGTTGCCATACCTGTTGATTGAGTTATTTTACATTGGTATGCCTGTGGTGCAGACTGACGGTCGGGCGGGCGGTCGGTCGGTCGGTGAACAGTCACGTGATTACCAAATTTTCTCGGATGGGTAGATATCTTGATTTTCCTACCCATGGTGCTCCGCTGGCGCGCTTCGCGCGCGAGAGCTCCGCTATGATGGAATTTCTGCGCTCTTTTCTCAGACCTAATTTCTGGGGGAAACCAGTGGTGGTGTCCCGAAATTTCGGCTGTTTTCTCACGCTAACATAGACTGCCTGTCATAATGGATGCATCTCAGTCTAGTTAGTTACTTGCAAGAGGCAAAAAGGGAATTGCAAGCTACTAGCTCTGGTTTTTCTCAGACTAATCATTTCAATCACAAAATATAGTTTATGAACGCAGGGTACTTACTATACTCTGAAGAAATCGCATTTTGAAGACTGTGGAGTCACGGTTATTTGTAAGCCAGGATCGCCAGAGAACAGACCGAAATTGCTGGAACCAAGACACCTTGTACCTAGAAAAAATAAAATTATGAAAAGCTTGTATTATGGACGTTGTGAATATTACATTTTGTCTCACTTTGTATTTGTAGTTGCTTTCTTTCTCAGACTACTGACTCCATCAGTGCTAAACTCCTTGTTATTTTTATATGTTACTTTTCTTCCTAATGAGCTATTGTTTTTCTTGTATTTATAGTTTAACTAAAATTAATAAGTCTACTAAAAAATAGCGCAATATGTCCACTGTCGATTGTTGTTTTGTTATCTTCTATATTAATGTAGCATTTTTTCTTACCCTTTAATTTAACTGAAACTGCATTAAGTACTTAAGATTAATTATTTTTATATGTGGTTCGAGGTGCATGAATTTGACGAAATTTTATGACATAGCTCCCTAAAAAGACTTATAAAACGCTTTGGGCGATTAACTGCAGGTGCATCGCAGATTTCAATTTAAAATTGCAGAATACACTCAGAATAGTTTGAGCAAAGACGTTTTTGAGCGGCTCACGTCAACCGGAAGTGGATATTTGCATTTGTGGGCAAATCGTCCCTATAAACGTATTTCAATAGTAATAAAAATTTGGTAGCGTTAAGACATGAAAGGGACGGCAACGAGAACTTCGCTTAAAAAGTGAATTTTCGTTCTTTTAGTCTTTACAGCGATTATTCCTACCCATTTACTTTTTCAAATGTAGGCGAACCCCCCTGAAGCTGAATTTCATGTGACCCAATCCAAGCTCAGAGAGAGAAATAAAATTTCGTCGTTGCTTGTTTACGTATACGTCCTCTTAAAAGGCGAAATTAGGCATTTTTACGTCGAAGTCGTGTAAAAACAGGAATAAATGTACTAAAAAGCGTTAAGCACGTGCAAAGTTGTTGTTTTCCTTATCAAACCTTTTGTTTTTTTGACGTTGTCGTCAAGTTGGATGTTAAAGTCCCTATTGCTTACACTCCCAGTTTAGCGTAATCTGAGACCTTCTGGTAAGGGGGTCCCCTCTCATTAAGACCTTGTGGTGTTAGAGGGGTTGTCCTTGGTTCATAACGTGAGAGTGGGTTTTATTTGTTAAATCCGCCCTCGAACTGAAAAGGAATGTTTGTGTAGTGTTCTACTTTACGCTTTAGAGATTTCTAAACAAAAAATCTTCTGCAGGAAGAGGGATATGCGGTTTTAAACGTTTCTGGGAACGACTTACGGTGAGCGACGTACAGCATAGTCATTACCAGAAAACGAGTCCTAAAACAAACAAAAAATAAATCAATTAGTATAGCAGGAGGATTAGGCTTGACAGAAGTCTAGCAATGCTTATTAAACAACAGTTAGGATGACAAAACTGAACAAGGACTCTACATCTTTATTGTTTGTTTGTTTTTTCTAATCCTTTACGTATACCAAGAGTGGATAGAGTATACACACTAGAGAAAAGTAATAATGGTTGCTTCTTTTTGTTTGGCCTTTTTTTTATTAGGTCCTCTTCAGTTTTAAAGAGTGATGTACAATGATTCAATTTTTCTCCTTTTTAGCAACGAAAAAGTGGTAGCCAGAGTCACGCGTACGGTCAAACGTCAGATTCAAGTTGAGAAATTCTCAAAATAGCAAATGATCGATAAAAACGGCTCAAAACAATTCTTATGGATAAAACTGGCGTAAAGATACTGATTTCCTTGTACTTATAATGCAGTAGTTACCGTATTACGGCAAGTAAAGGGAGAACTTGGTCACGTGGTACAAATTCATGTTTCTTGTTTGCCGTGAATTAACGTAACTCTAAATCTCTCCATTACGGAATAAAATGTTTAGATACTGTTCACTATTGTCACTGCCATTGTTTTTTTTTTTTTTTTTACCACAGAGTTTATTAATATACTTCTCCTATCACTGAAGAGGGGGGGGTGCAGGCAATTTTTGTTAGAGTCAGGCTTTGTGAGAGAAGACATGTAGCAAAAAACCCCCATGACCTTAGTCCTAAATATCTCGGCTTCTCCCTTTGTCGTGCATACATGTATGTGGCTAGATGTCACTGGATTACGTTTTGTATTATCTCAAAGTGTCAAACATTTTATTCTTTCTCGATATACCTCAAACCTAGTCTGCATACCTATTTCAGTCTTTTCCACGTTGGCTTTTTACCGTCCACATAACAATTCCATATCTCTCTTTGAGAAAGCAACATTTTAGTTTCGGTGCTGCAAAACCAGTTTGGTCGGATTTATGTCTTACTCACCTGTAAAACTTTTTTAGCACGTTTTGTTTCGTTTGCGGCACTTTCTTGAGTGTACGCATCACAAATTGTCTGGAATTTAACCAAAACCAAAAAAACAAACAAAAAACAAACAAACAAAACAAAAAAAGCTGGAGTGAGCAAGTAACTTAATATATGAACAACATGAGCTCCTACAGTTAATGTTCTTCATCTTGACGGTTCGGTTATTTTGCTTAAAACAAAAAAATAGAAAGAAAGGTTGCAAGAAGTGCTAGAGTACGTAGAAAATAGAGGCCACAGATACAACTTATGACCTTAATTTCTGTGCAGTTGAGAGAGCTTGAAAGTTTGCAATTGACAGAGCTTCCGGCCTTACAGTTTAGTATTTACAGATGATTGTGTTCGTTGTATTTTAAATCTCTCTAAGCAGAAGTTTGACTGAATTTTACTTTGAATTTCTTTAAGCATTATCGATGGATTGACTATTAGCATTAAAGACTTAAAAGAGCTCGAGAACATGGCCCAGGTACTGTGTAAATCCTAGATACCTTGGAGTCCGCCCCCTAAAGTGACTATGCCTCGGTTTTGTCAAAGATGAATCTTATTGGTCAAAGAATGAAAGATGGTATCATTTTAAGCTCGGTGAAACAAATGTGAAGATGAAATAATCACCATGTCACGATCGTGGGACAAAGAAGAAATGTGAGTCCCCGACTGGATTCGAACCTATGACCTCCCAAACACTAGGCGGGAGCTCCATCCACTGCTTGTTCGATAAGCTAAGGATCGGAAAGATTCGTATCAGAGAGGCTGAATTTGTAAAGATTCACTTTCAGTGATAAAATTTATTTTCCTCGACAAGTTTTCCTTGTCAGGGTGGATTTTTCAAGGAAACGTTGCCACTTTAAGTGCGACGTGTGTCTTCTCAAATAATTAAAGGATCTGAGCCACGGAATTTGTCAAAACTCAGACAATGGGAACTGCCACCAAATTGAGTGAAACATAAAAAAAAAAACCGCTCAAAACATTAAAGGAAGGTATAAATAACACCGCAGATACAAAAGAAGGCATGGATGGACAAACTTTTGAAGAAGATTGAAACGGATTGCAGTTGTGGGTTTTGAGACCTTGTTAGCCTAACAGTTTTTCAAAGTTCATTTTTGTCATGTGTAACGTTTGTTACAATGCTAGGGAGACAAATTTGTTAGACATAAAGCGTGATTTTGTCTTTCAACAAAAATTCATTGTCATTCACCAAAGTTTTAAAGGAAGTACGGACCTGTAACTGGCGCTATGCACAAAATGAAGTCGCCAGCCATGACACAGACTCTTAAAATGACTATACAATGTGTAAAAAATCAGTGCTGTTCCAACCTTAACTCTCTTGCGGCAGTTTTCTTCATTGCCAGGCTTGATGGCCAGGGTACGGACAAAGAAGTCAGCTGGGTTAAAATTGTCAGGACAAGGATAACCTAAGCTGTGAGTGAAAGCAATGTAAGAGTTAAAAGAGCAATGCCAGGACATTTTGGCATTGTAATGCTGGTGCCTAGAAATTAGAATGTGAAGTCTAACGCAAAATGAAAGGAAAACTGGGTTTTCAAGAATACAAAGTTCCTCTTTTTGTCTTTTTTTTTTTGGGTTGTGTGTTTACACTGGCCAACCTATCAGCAGACGATGGATAGGCCAGTTCTTTTTCTATAGTACTCATAGCATATATTGTATAAAGTAACTTTAGTACTACAAACACTATAGACGTATAAAGGAAAAAACAAGATTAAAGTTTGCAATATTTGACTGTTAACAAAGTTGCCAGTTGATTTAAACAAAAAGTTCGTAATGAAGTCTAATTACGAACAATCAAGAAAAAATTCACTTTGTTTATATTCCTTTTCTTCCAAAAGAATGCTACTAAAATAGCAAAAATAGGCATCTTACTCGCTTACTAAAACATACTTACATGAATATACTTAGCTACATTGAATAAATTATTTTACTAAATTATCACGAGAATATAAGTTCTCTGTCAATGTGACATATTTAACCTGTATTCAATTTACATTTAAAAGTGACTATACGTTGTCGATATTCAATGAGAACAGTACGAAACTTAAACATGGCAAAACCCACGAGTAAAACTTTTAAGGGGATAACGTTCAACATATAAGAACTCTGTTTGTTGAGTACCATTTAAAATAGTCGATGGCATTTTCCGTGGATCCCATGAAGGCAATTCTACCTTCAGCCAGCATCAAAATACTAAAATTAAAAAAAAAGGAAAAAAAATAGTAAAACATTAGGAAGTGTGAAAGTGGGACAATTAAGATCAAGTCAATAAACTTAAGTGGAATACAGACAGTCAGAATATCTTCTACTTACTTATGTAAGACACACACTCCTGTGTAAGCATACTTGATTTCCAGGGTAGAGAGGGGACACTCCTTATAATGGCGGGGATATAAGGGGAGTATCCTCCCGAAAGGGGTGCATCATTTTCGAGTTCTACCAAACGGTAGGGATTCGCAAGTTCACGTATATGAAAGGGTAGAAAGTACTTTAAAGGTCCTTTACTTTAAATGCTTCCAAACGACGCTCCTTCTTGTTATATAATTTCAATTTATTAACCGTTAAACTAATTAACATGAAGACTTTCGGTTTTAGCGATTTAGTCTACATTATTCGGTACCATGTTCCTTTTTATTAATAGAAGGTAAACGAAGGGGATACCCTTTCGGTCAAAAATGGTATTAAAAATAGCAAAAGTCTGGAACTTGGGGCGGAGCCTCTCTTAAAGAAAATTCGTTGACTTAATTAGTTATGATAACTTGATATAAGTTATTGCATCTTGTCCTCTTTTCACATCTCGACGTATTGTACCTGTGAAACATGGCGTACACTTCAGAGGAAGGCTGATGAATGGTGCAAATGATTGTCCTTCCTTGATCAGCAAGCTGCTGCATTGTTGCAACCAAATTCTGCGCCATGAACGAATCAAGACCGGAAGTTGGTTCATCGGCGAACAGCAAGGGCGGGTCTGTAATGATCTGATGTACAAAATTAAAGATGAAGTTCCAAAAACCGTTCACATTTAGTGCTCGGCACATTGCCTGAGTGCCGATACCCAGTCGCCCCAGCGCCTACCAGTCCCTGGGCCCCTCCGCTAGATTTGCTACTGCTGAAATTTAAAGGCACTCAGGGACTCTAAGAGGAAGAAGTGCTGGCACAGTCTTACAGGACTCTTAGTTGTCTTGTCCGAGCTAAATCAGCCAAACCGCCCCCAACACCTCCCCCAAACCCATCTCTCGAAAGTTAAATAGTCTACTCTTGAATTGAAACTATACTTGGTAAACAAACTGATACCTCTGAAGCAAACGAGAGCCTTCTCTTTTCTCCGCCCGAAATTCCTTGCAGCCGTCCTGGTATTCCAATGAAAGTATCAGCGCATTTAGTCAGACCAAACTTTGAAAGAAGCACAAGTGAAACAAATTAGAGCTTTGCATGAAACAACGACCCTGCTCCATCGATTGTCGTTGGCACTCCAAACGGTGGAATGGATGCGAAGTAGATTGAAAGAAGGCATCCCATGAGTGTGAAAGGGTATTGTTTATTGTTTTGTTTGCCAAAAATTATACAAATCAAATAAAATCTAATTACCTTAACTCTCATGGCGAGGAATCCCAAGAGAAGCCACCGGGCTTATAAGGAATGGGCTCCCTCAGTTAGATAATTAGAACAAAATATTATCATAAGGCAGGTAGGTAGGAGTGAGGCTCTTACGTCTTCTTAGGTTGTATTCTTGGTAGATACTTTTTGACTGATTTTTATGCTTGGACGAAATGACACTTTTGGATTACGTTCCTTGGCTGATGGAAACTAACAAATAGGCCACTTCCGAGTTCTAAAAACCCTCACTTTCAAAATGAGGCTAGGTACACAACTTTTCTTGAGAAAATGAGTTTTATTTGCATGAGAATGAAAAATTATTTCCCTATCAAAGGCTGAGCACCTACCCTCGTTTTGAAACCGAGGCCCAGGGGAACTCGGAAATGGCCTATTGGCCCTATTCGCACCCCATTGTCGTCATTACTATTCTTGAGTATCCTCCACAACAAACGATACTTTTGGTGTTTTGTTACCTGAAGCATCACTTCCTGGACTCGTGCAATCCGTTGTTCACGGGAAACATGTCCGTCCATACGCAGGGAAGCCTTCAGAAACAGAATGAATCAGAACATGAGTAAGGTGTCATCATTATAATTAGTACCGTCCTCATCGTAACCACCATCATCGTTTTTATCATCAGGATCATAATCATCATCATCATCACTGTTTTTATCATGACAAAATTAGTGAGCTTACGCAACAGGACGGCAAAAAGTTTACGTGTGAAAAGCCTGAAAGGGCTATTACATGCGTGTTTTGTCGTACTTTAATTTCCCCAGATGAAACGTTAAGGTGCAAGACCACTGCAAAAAACCTTGTACGATCAAACTTGCTCAACGTTGGATCAAAACGATCACGATCAGTCCTGAAATTAATAAAAAGTATAAATCAAATATACGAGGAAAAATAAGACGCGTCTTTCGTTAGACGCGTCCTAAATAAGACGCAAACCATCCCGTATAAACGGCACATTAAGACGCGACTTACAAAAGACGCGTCTTGTCGAAGAACAGGTGTGAGGGGCTGTTCTTAAATAAGACGCGTCTTAGATAAATTTCAAACGAAATGTGCCGTTTATACGGGATAGTTTGAGTCTTATTTAGGACGCGTCCTATGTAAGACGCGTCTATTTTTCCTCGTTTAAACGGTCAAAAAGAAAACCGCAAGGACTGATGAAACAACGTGAAAAGACTGCAGTTACGATAAGTATTTCGACTGGCCAATACCAGTCTTCTTCAGGTTTATTAGGAAGATTACGAAATTACAGAAGTATACAGCATTTACGCAGTACTACAATGGTCTTTTACGAAAAGATCTGTTTAAAGGAAAGTGAAACTTGGAGGAAATGTTTTTCAAACAAAATATTGTCACGCGGCATATCACACAATTTTGCCTTCCTCTTTTTTACCCCGTCCTGTTACATACGTTTACTATCTTTATCACTGACACCATCATCAGGGATCTCCATTCCCACTCGGAAGCGTCAAGTGGTTCTTGGCACTGAATAAGACGGAAGTGTTCTGTTGATATCTTATATTATTATACATCAGGCGACTCACTATGAATCATCTGATTGGTCGAGAGCATTCAATCAATTCACAATAGCTTGTGAACTTGACATGATAAATGCAATATCTGCTGCAGATATTGCATTTATCATGTCAAGTTCAACGTCTGCCTGGTTACCAAGCCCGTTGGAGTGTTCTCAGAAACAGAATGGCTGAATGTCTTCTTTTGCCTATTGTTTAAAAAATGTATAATAAAACAATTATTGAATTCGGTTTTCGCATGATATCATGAATTATCAAAACCTCGTGTCTGTATTATCTGCCTCCGCCTTCGGCTTCGGCAGATAACACAGACCTCGGTTTTGATAATTCATGACATCATGCTCAATAATCCAATAATTGTTTACTAGTTGTTTACAAGTTGTTCCTAATTCCTTCTATTATTAAGAGAACTATAATTCAAACAGTTGGAAGATGCCATCTTTGGTTTTCAAAAGAAATCGTATAGCACTTTAAATCACTCACCTGAAAAGTAAGATGTTCCCTTACAGTTAAAGTTCCCACAAAAAGGTCTTCTTGTTGAATATATGCAGACATCGAAGTCATCTCCGATGTAATAGGACAATCATTCAACAACACGGTTCCCGTGACATCCATTTGGCCGATATTTCGTTGCGCCAACACGTTCATTAAGGTCGACTTCCCGGCACCACTGGAAGAAGAAGAAGAAGAAGAAGAAGAAGAAGAAGAAGAAAAAGAGGGAAAAACATAGCAGTTACATCTTGCTTACAACTCGAATCACTGAAGCAGGTGACTGAAATACAAGATGACCTACTTTTAAGCGTTCATCGTTGAAAAAGCGCGTAAGAAAACAGTTGAAAAAGCGCTAAATTACTTAAAAACATCATTTGCAATCAGCTTTGAAAACTTTGAAATGTGTTCATTAGGTATATTTTTTGCTGACCAGATCTGCTGTAGATCGTATCCTTTTTGTTTGCGATCCTTTGCAGTTAATGTTCAGTTGTTACTTAAAATACTCACCTCGCCCCCATGACTGCTAGTAAACTGCCAGCGTCAATCCTTCCACTCACTGTAATTAAAAAAAGATGATATTTTCTCCTTCACCAGTCATACATCTCTCCTCCCTTCCCCCTCAAAAAAAGAAGAGCATTACTAAATCACTGACTGGAGTCATGACACGGTGTAGTTATGGGGTAAACATGTTGGGTGCAGACGTCAGACGATACTTTACCATTTAAAAGTGAAACTCTAGTTGAACCTACTTTTTGTGTTACTATGGATTACACATAAGGAAGCATTTCGTCGATAAAGTTGCCTCATCAAGATACCGTAAACTGCCGCTTGTAAGCGCTGGGCTTATACAAGTTCGTAAGGGGTTTTGGGTGGGCTTATAAATGGGGGGGGGGCTCATATCCGGATGGGCTTATAAGCGGACGAAAAAAAAAACGTTTCGAAATGAGCAACAGCACTGTTGATCGACGCATGATTTAAATTTATCACTCTTACAAAGGCAGCAATAAATCGAATTCAGTTAAATTTCAAAACAAAATCAAAACTGTAACTGGGGCTTATATCCGGATGGGCTTATAATCGGATGTATTATTTTGTTTGCATGTAGGTGGGCCTATAACCGGGGGGCTTGTAAGCGGATGGGCTTATAAGCGGCAGTTTACGGTATTAACGAAGAATTTACCAAGCGCCCGGGCTCTTTTTGGAGTAAATAAGGTGTTACCAAATTTCCGGCTCACTGTCATTTTGTAATAAATCATTAATTTTTACCCACTACGTTTTACGTTTACCACGTTTCTTTGTTACGTTAATGTTTTATTTTGTCACCTCAGACTGTTGTAGTTTTGTCTTTTATTTGATAATGTTGTCATTGCCACATCGAAACGTTGTTTAAATCTTTTTTCGTTAAGTGTGTAACGAAATTAAGATTTCGTTTGTCGGAAGTAGAAATTTAATATACCCTCTAAGTATCTCTAAGAGCAGACCTGAACCCTCTTAGATAAACTTCCTTTTTGTCTGCATTGCAAACTTTCGCTTTCTAGTCGATCGAATATTGCTTCGGATACGAACTTTTTTTTTTCAACCAAAGCATAACTGGGCCGTGTCGAGACGAAGTTTAAAGAAGAATATATATTTTTACAATTTTACCATGAAGACTTCGTTCATTCTTATCGAGGTCTAGAGAACACAAACAAAGGATGCGAACAAATATGCATATTCATGACGTTTGTTTGTGTCCTTTAAGCATGGCGATAAGTTTCGTAAAAGGAGAATTTTGAATTAATTTGAACATTGAAATGAGCCTATTCGTTCTTTGCAAAGACAAGCTTAAATAGAAAGATAAAAGAGGTACTTACGGTTGTACAAGACTTGCTTCCTTGTCGGTTTTTCTTGTTCTTCAGTTATTAAATGCAAACGTTTCCGTAGCGAAGGCTGGGGAACTTTGACAAATACGTCGAGGTTTTCCCATGAAATAGAGACCTTCTCTCGAGTGTATTCAAAGTTATTTAGCGGGCTGCGATTATAATCTCTGTTGCTTGTTGCGTTACCGGTTAAAACTCCATCGTAAAGCATGTTGTTCAGACTCTTCGGACTGTGTTCGGCTGGTGCACGATATACCAAGTGAATAACAAGTCTCCAGTTACGTCACAAAGAACACAACAATGATCTCTAGCCATTACACAATAACACAATAAACTTCACACAATGGAACGAGACAATAGTGCATATATTGACTTGGTATATCAAGCACCACCCTTGTGTTCACCGGCCACTTGAATATTCACGAGACGACGGCTATTCGCCGTCTCCCTGCGGACCCTGCGGAGTTACGTAAGGAGGCGGTTTTTTGTCGCATAGTCTTCACAAGTGACTTATGCGCCAAATAAGAATGAAAAACAGGAGAGGATAAAGCTCTCTTATGAAAAATGAAAAATTAAAGCTTTGCTGCCGACAACCTGATTTCGAAAATATCAAAAGAGATTCAAATTCCTAATGTAGCAATAGAAGGATAGACGATTACCACAAAGAAGAAAATTAGATTTGTAGGGGGGGCAGGGGGTGGTGGTGGTTGGGGGAAGGGGGGGATGGGGGGCTTGGATTTGCGAGTGGAAGTGCGGCGGATAATATGATTTTAAGAGTGATCATAAACCTTACTCCATCTGATAGGATGACACTTAAGGTCCAAGGTCCTCTTAAAGATAGGCAGAAATAAGATTATATATGGTTTTTGACCGTATGTTTTTGAGGGCGCAAGAAAATTGTATACAACTGCCCAATTTTTAGTACTTTAATACTTCATTTTTTAAGGCCTTATCCACTGAAAAACAATTAAATCTAACAATGCTCTCTTATGGTTTTACTTATACAGCCAGGTTCGTTGTCTTTACAGTCTTTTGCAATAGGGATTTGGCAACACACCCTCTGTAACACCACATCCCCCCGGTCTGAATGTATACATGAAGGAACATGCACATTATGATTTAAGGAATATCGTACAAAAGAGGCAAGGCTGATTTCACACTCAGGAATATATAATTTTTGTTACCATTAATTCGGAGGGCACGGCTTTCCTTCGTCAGTGTCTCACATACAACTATAAGGTTAAGCTAAGACGTTACAATTATTTGAGATAAAGGAAAGCGTGCAATATGATACTATAACCCCTGAAAATTTAAATACGAAAAAAGTGAACGTCAAAAGTATATGAAAACAAAAACCGTTGAAGTAGCCGGGATATGAAAGGAACTTGAAATGTAAAAATCGTATAAATAAATACAAATGGAAGAAGTAAGGAATGTGTTACAATTCATTTTTCTTGTTAATACCTAATGTTTCAAGAGTTTTGCCTCTTTCAATGAGGTATGCTTCTCTAGCTTTTCGTACACTGTCTCTATTAGATTCAATGAGTTCTAGTGAAATAAGTGTAATGTCTTTAGCGCAGTGATCATTAATAAGAAAATGTTCTGAGACAGTGTTGGGTTTAGAGATATTAGAAGAATTGTCAACTGGTCTGCGGTGTTCGTTGAAACGGTCTTTAACGATGTACTGTTTAGGGCAGTAGTTGCATTGTACCATGTAAATGACGTTTTAAGAGTTACAGTCCATGTGATGAGTGATAGGTCGATCTGGTTTCACCTGTAGAGTGGAATGTGTATGTCTAAGCTTAACCTTATCACTGTATGTAAGACCCTGAAGAAAGAAGGCCGTGCCTTCAGAGAGATATATATTTTTTGGTAACAAAGAATATATATTCCCGACTGTAAAATCAGCCATGCTTCTTTTGTTCGATATTTCTACTTACAGCTGAGTAGATCCTTTATTAGAATCAAGTTCTTCTTTTTTGGCAACGTTGGTCCTTGCTTCCAAAATTGAAATTATAAGGAACAAACATGGTTAGAGGAAGGGGAGTTGGTCCAAAATTGTTCCACCCCTCCAACAGGGTGGCTGAATAAGAAGCGAAACAGCGTAAAAGACAAACTGGAGATTTATCTATTCCTGTTAGCATCAATATTGTTATTATTACCGTAACTATAATTAACTTTGCCAAATAAATTTATTTATCGCCTGTTTTCTCCCACAGCAGGTGGTCAGCAGAAAGGTGGTGCGAAAATTACTGATTAGTTTTGTAAGTGCATTAAAATTTTAAACTCTTTACAGGAGTCTGAGATCGCTCGCCCAAGTAAAAAACTTGCTGTTTAAAAAAGTTAACAGGTTATTCCTAAAAAAGAGCTGAAATCACTTGCGTCCTTTCTGACCAACCTTTCACTGTCCCCTTTACGATCAAAAACCACCGGAAAAACAAGCGCCTGCCTTTTGATTGAATCGGTATAAACAAATTACGCCAGCTTTTCTTTTCACAAATTACGAAAAAGTTCTTACAATTGCGACAGGTAGTACAAATTACGACAAAATTATTACAAATTAGGACAGCTATTTCAAATTACGACAAAACAATCAGTTCAAAGTACAATTTTAAAAAGTTGCAGTTCAATGAAAAACTATCTACTTAAAATAGCTCACATGTGTAGTTAAATATAGAATATTTAAATACCTTTTCTTGCTTGTATCAAAATCAGCTTTCCAAAGCATACAATGGAAGCCAGCTATTGCAGAGCAGTGTTTGGGGAAAAGCCCTAGTAGGTCAGTGTAGAGAAGAAGTGTCTAAAATCAGCTCCTAAAGACCAAGGGCAAATAACGAGGCTGATCATCCCCCCACCCACCCAACCTTAACCAAACAACAATTAAGACTCATCTTTGGTCGCGCCTTCACTCTGGCTAAAAGTTAATGAGCGTTTTTAGACCACGGACATGACTTGTGTGACAAGCACAAGTGTTAAATTTTTTCTTAGTTGTTATAAAGAGCGAGATGGGAACGTGCGAAGGGGAGAGGGGGCATCCTCCCCTTTTCTTCCGTCATGCGCGAACGTCGTAGAAATCTCCCTTCGCCCTCAAAAAAAAAAAGGCCATCACCTTCTGAATGCAGGCTACAAAGGACAGCGAAATAATGACAAAAGATAATTACATTAATTCCATAGGCCTTTGTGAATTTTGATTCCTTTTTCAGATTTCCGATTCCTAATTTCCAATCCGTTTTAAGTCACTTTTTTTCACAATTTCTCTCTTCGACTCTGTGTTACGTTGGCTCTAATTTGCAAATTGTTTGCTGATTGAGCAAAAAAACATATAGTTTTAAAAAAAGAGGATCAAAAGAATCAAATCCGTCAATGAACACTTGCGCCGATAACAGGTTTTTCCTTGCCCCTCCTCAGTTTAAAGTAGTCTACCTTATTAGTGGGAAATTTTATAGGAACTCATTTTCAAAGTGATCAAAATTTTTCGAAACAAAATACTGCAACAACACTGACATATTTTTTGTTTAAAAAGCTAAATAAACATAAACATTCAGTACAACTAAACAAATTTATATTGATTAACCTTAATAGGACATGAAAAAATTTTTGAAATAAAAGCTTAATTTAAACCCGTTCCGACTGTACTAAAAACGACTTTCTGCAGCGCAACATTATTTTGCGTTAAATGTGCTACTTCCCCCCCACACTCCCCCTACAATATGTGAGCAGCGGTAAACCAACCATATCCACTCTTCTCCAACTTCAGCCATGCATTGCAGCATTCTTTGTTTGAAACTGTTCTACGTACTTATCAGAAAGAACTACAAAATCTCCCATATTGAGTTCAGGCGTACCTTAAGGCGCAGGCACAGCCGACGACTATTTTAAATATATACCAGGTAAAACTGAAACCAAAAATTTGGAAATATGTCTAGCAGTCACATCTTCTGAATATAGTTTATTACAAATCAAGACAAAGTTACAAATTACGACATCTTTGCTTTCTACAAATTACGAGAAAGGAGTTGTTACAAATTACAACAGCTTTAAAAATTATATATTACGAACCTGGCGTAGACCCCGCGGGTGTGGTGTTATGATGGTCTGGGTGGATAATAAAAGGGTTGATATCAACTGGGACGTAAGCCCTGTTTCATCCCCTGACATCGTGTTGAGTCACCGTGGCGAATTCAGTAGAGGCAATGATCATTGGCCCACTCCTCTTAATCCTTTGGATTTCTAGTACCTCTGATAACTTCAGAAATCTCCCTGGGATTTTTGCATTAGTTTGGGAAGGCTTTGAGGATCAAGGTCCAAGCCTCTTAAATATACAGTCCAGAAAGCAGAAAATACACTTTCTTCTGTATAAGTAAATCACCTTTATTGTGATGATGATAAACTAAATCTTATGTAGTCCAAACTATAGGCATCATGAAACATGAGGGTACATAACTTCTTAACGCGACTATAAAAACCTATACCTAATTCTCAACAGGAATATGTATTGTAACGGGTCTCCATACCATTTGTTATTCAGTGATAAACAAATTTGTTTTAGGTTGTTTCGCTTTTACGATTGAGCTCTTTTACTCATTCGCCTTGCTGACTTGTTCGCTTGCGATTCTTTACAACTTTAAATAATAATTGTGCGCGATCACTAATCATGAATTAATCAATATTTGGACTTAATGCAATAAAGAAAGTACTTCAAGTTTCTGTACTTATTCTATAAAGTTGAGTTATCATGGCCGTTGCTGTCACGTGACCTGATAAAAGCCATATGAGAGAAAAGCCATTGCTTATTCACAAGATGGAAAATTATGCAACCAAGTCATACAATCCAACGATTTATTATTTTTCTTGAAACTATCATCCATGTTTTTTAGCTGAGGCTTCCTTGTTGTGAGCAAAAGTATTAGGACTGGGACCTAGATACTTCTTCAATCATTATCCGAGACACTGATTCCCACCCAGTGTAAGCATCACCCAAGGTTTGGCCACTACACTTTCCTACCCATAATTCCACTCTAACCGCCCCTTGTGGAATGTTTTCACAGTACCCCTCAAATGACCGATGATGCAGCTGATTACTATTGGTGTTACCAGACGGCCAGTGATTGTAAACACGAGCCTCAATCGTCATCGGTCCACTGCATTCGTTTCCATTGAACTTGAAATACCACCGGTTACACTTAACATTACCACTGACCCTCAAGTTTCCTTGAAATGAGACTTTGAGCGATGTATCGGACGTCAACTTGTTGAAAGTACACTCCTGTAAGAGAGAAAAGACGCGTAAAATGTCCTAGTCTCCGACTTTGTCGTGCATGGTCGGGTGATTAGAGGTATAACAAGGTAAGCTTAATAACAAAGACCTTACAGGAACACCATATAATGCATTTAGGTCGGCACAGCTCGTGAAATATTAATTAGTTTTGTGTACAGTAAGGAAATAAAAGAACCCGCTTAAGCAAAATTAACGTATTTGAAGGATGAGGAGCCTAATGAAAGGGAACATAAGACTTATTGCCTTCGTTTTTATTTCTTGAGGTGGACTTTTTTTTGATTTGGAATACTTGTACTGAGGTCTCACATAAACCTGCATTCTTATTTACCTTAATCTTTCCGTTATCAGTACCGCTCTCTGATTTCCACACACATTGTTTCCAGTTGGTTTGTGGTACTACACTTGTTTGACTTGCTTTGACGCTTTCTCCTTTCTCTCCTTTGTCTCCTTCTCTTCCTTGATTTCCCACAATGCCTGGCTCTCCTTTCATTCCCGCAAGTCCCGGTTCACCTTTGATGCCCTTTATTCCCGTCGGTCCACTCTTCCCAGGAGGCCCTTCGCGTCCTCTGTCTCCTCTTGGACCCGGCATTCCTTGTGATCCCTTATCACCTATTTGTCCTTTTACACCTTCCCTTCCCTGGGATCCTTGCGGTCCGGGAACCCCAGGTATTCCAGGCATCCCATTTGATCCTGGTATGCCAGGAAAACCAAGGACTAGTGTAGATTTCTATAAATAAAGATAGTTTCATCACTAGGTAGTTTATAATCGTCCGAGTGAGCATAGTCCGGAATAGGATAGTTGTTGACTGTGACTGACGTGTCGACAACCTATGCGTGTAAAATAAGTCATTATCAAAAAAAAGTCAGTTGTGTACAAACGTAGCCTTTTGTCTAATTATAATACATTGTATATATTTTAGTCAAACGTTGGTCTTTGTTCGTCCATTCTTCGGTTATTAGGTTTGTTTACGTTCGTTTCTGAGGTGCTTGTAACTGCTGGCTTTGATTCTAACTGCGGTGTTTGTTCTGGGTAAGTAATCTGGCTTTGTAGAAAAGCAGTCATTAGTCAGTAGCATACTTAAGAGCGTGTCTCCGTAAGAACCGACCAGTGATTTCGGATCAAAAAATTAATTTTCCTTATATTCTGGGATATTAAAGCCTTTACCTAATTAGTTCCAAAAATGCATTTTGTTTGACCGAAAAGTCGAAAGTTGGCACCGGCGCTATAGCCTTTGAAACTGCAAAAATCGCCTACACTGCTGGCGCTACAGAAAACAAACACCTCGCTCAAGACGGATACACCACTCTAGATTTCCTAGCCATATCACAGTTTCGAATTATTTATTCATTTTAACGGCAAGAATCTTTTTTCTGGCACGTGTTATCGGCCTTCCATCAAAACACGAAAATCGTTCAACTTTGAGGGCAGTTTAAAAAAGTGTGGCACCTGTCTGAACTTTGTCACTTGTATTAATACAAACTAGAAATGATAGTAAAACATAAAAAGAAATAAAAGTCTTGTCCTCTTTACGTTTTCGAACTTGACCGCAGTTTGAATTTCCAGAACTGAAATTTCCAAGACTTGATAATTAACGAACACTTGCATTGTCGATCTGCTCGTGAAGTCCAACTTCAGTTGATGGCTTGATGGATCTCACCTAAAGTTCTTTCTCATTTTAACGTTATTTCTTAATCATCTGAAACTATATTGGCCGTTGATTCCGTGTTAAAACTTGTTTTATTGCCATGTTTTCTGGTTTTTTAACATGGCCGTATCAGCGAGCGTGACCTGTTCGTGACACCCGACCCCGAGCTCTTTGCTAAAAATTTTTTAATAACAATAATAATAATAATAATAATAATAATATTAATAATAATAATAATAATAATAATATTAATAATAATAATTTAATCACTTACATTGCGCAGGTATTTATAAAAATCATAAAAAACGCATTACAAACTACAAGACTATTTACAATAAGCAAAGCAATAAAAATATATACACTTCCGCCATAAAAATCTCAAATATCGATACGTAACAATTGAAATTCATTCAACCATAAGCAAACTTAAAAAGATACGTCTTAAGATTGCTCTTAAAAGTATGCAAGTTTGCGATATCGCGAAGCTCACGCGCAAGAGCGCAGCCACCTGGAAGGACCTATCGCTTAGTGTGACCTTAGATCTAAATGTTGACGATGCTAGCAAAATCCCACCTGACGAACTGAGGTTATATGTGCCTTGCGATTTCAAAGAAACCAAGTTCTGAATGTATGTAGGGGCTACACCGTGGATAGCCTTAAATGCAAATAACAAAATCTTAAAATGAATGCGCTGCTTTAACGGAAACCAATGTAGCTCTCATACATCAGTGGTGTAAAATGGCTGAAGCGCGGAGCGCATCAAACAAGCCTTGCTGCAGTGTTTAAAACACGCTGAACCTTGTTTTAACAAGCGTAAAAGCTGCAAGGAAGGTAGACCATAGAAAATGGCTATTGCAGTAGTCAACGCCAGAAGTAACGAATGCATGCACCAAGGACTTAGTTTCCACGGGGCTTAGGAACTTGCGAATACGACTGATGTTGTGTAAATGAAAGAAAGCTGAACCACAGAGCTTGCTAATATGAGTAGACATACTAAGTTGAGAATCAAACCAGGAACCTAAATTCCTGACAACCCGCTTCGTGTTCACGACAGACTCACCAACAGTAGTACTATTAATGTCAACCTTAGCTAGCTGTTGCTTGGTACCAAGGAGCAAAAACTCAGTCTTATCATCATTTAACATAAGTCGGTCTCTAATCATTCACTTTCTTAAATCCATGATGCAATCACATATAGCCTTTACTGCACTAGCGTCATCACCCTGCACGTTTGGACTGAACGCCAAGTACAATTGCGTGTCATCGGCGTAAGCGTGCACGCTTGGCAAGTGTCGACTCACTATATCGAATAGTTCGCTGGTATATACCGTGAACGGAAGCGGGCCAAAGCATGACCCTTTCGGCGCCCCTTGCGCGAGCAGAAAGGTATCTGACAGCCCTCCATTAACTGAAACACGCTGTGTACGGTCGGAGAGGTACGGTTTTTCATCAAAATCGACTCCTCAAGACATGGCAATAAAGTTTCTTGGGCAAATGAAAGAAATTTCTTCGCAAATATGATGCGATAAGACTCGAAGAAAGCGATTTAGCCCAGTTACCGATTTGAAATACTGTATGCGTAGTTGTATGCGTGACTTTGTATTTCATGCCCAGTCCTTCTGGACTGGACACGAAGCAGACAAGGGGTAGCAATTCCCTCAACAAAGAAAAGTCTTTCTCGGACTTGAGAAAATCAACTTGTGGAGATTTTCGAGTTACGACATATTCAGTATGGACGTTGCGAAAATGACAGAAAGATATAACGAACCACTCAAAACGCGAAATGATATTGTTAGGGCAGGCCTGTTCATGTGTGTGAGACATAATTGATCATGTCAAAGAACATCACTCAATTTTTGGAACCACAATTCCCACTCAGTCAGGTAGGCTTTCCACTGCGCTATTCTTTGCGTTTTCACCTGCTTTTGAGGAGGAAAGATTGGTACAGTTGGTTATTGCGTGGCCTGCTATGAGAGAAGTCCCGATCCCGAAATGCGACCTCCAATCCCTTTTTCGGCTAATCTCCTTTCCGTGTAGCTTTAAGTAGCTGTAAATACCCGTGAAACGGAGCATTAATCGGGTTTTAGAAGGGTGTGGCTGTGGCTCAGGTTTCGTTTTGGTACCTTTCAGTTTAAAAAAAAAACCTACTCCTCAAGTGGTAAATGTCATAGTATTCTTAATGCTGATCAGGAGCCCATAATCTGTGACGATTGAATTGAGTTGTCTAAAAAATACAATTTTAAATAAAGAGAAGGGCGAGCGAATAAGCCTTGAGCCAAGGGGAGCGGGGTGTGTGTGTTCATCGAAGAGACGGATAAAAATCTCGATTTTACCACGTAGATACTGTTGCGATTTCTTGGATTTGGAGATTTAAAGGTTTCTTTTGTCATAGAAAACTAGACTTGAGTACTTTTTTGGAATGAATGTCCAGTGGTGTAATGAATTTTAAAGATTCCTTTCTATCGTCGAGCAAATTTTACTTGCAATCATACCAACCGGTCACACTTTTGAGGGCCAGTGCACAGCAAGATTGAGGAGTTTAGACACAGCAATAGGAGGTTCATCAAAGGATGTATTATAATTTACATTGTGCTTATTTTCAGCTCTTCAGAGCTAGTGGAACCCCATATCATTCCTCTCAAAGTTCGCTTAGCTGTAGCGTTGAAAGAGGAAACTAAATGACAGGTATTTGTGAGAGACTATGAGCTTTAATCTTGTTGCTTTACCGCATTTTAATACTGTATTGGGCATACACCTGTAATTCTGTAATTAAATCCCGAAAACCAATAAAAGGTTTCGTTAAATTATTTCTTAGGGGCAAATTCAGTAGGAATTTTCACCAATAATATTGATGATTAAGACGATGTACAAAAGGCAAGTTTAACTTTCGCAAGTGGGTCACTGGTGGGTGTTGGGTGTAAATTAATACAGCTTGTGGTGTTCTGTGTGTTGTTTGCCATGATGTTAACTAAAATTGAAAAAAAATCAGCTGTTTCAGGGGAGGGACATGTCTTGACAGCTTGGTTTTTTTCTTGTCGTAAGGTTGGCCAGTATGCAGATCAAGAGCGGGCTTTTGAAATCCCTTTTCCCGAAAAACTCCCGACTTACGCTTAAAATATATATTGATCCAAGTGCATGACCAGCAGGGTCAGCAGTAAAAATAAAGAAAAAAAGGCCAAAAGGAAAAATAGAGTTAAAAAGAGACCAAACAGAAGGAAAAAAAAAAAAAAAAAAAAAAAAAAAAAAAACGGTACAAAGAAACAGAAAACAGCGTCGCCGGGAGTCGAACCCGGTTTATCTGCAGGTGCAAGCAACTCCTTGACCACTGCACCACAGTCACACACATGACTTGAAAAAATAATTTTGTCACATCAAAACAATTTTTCTCTGCCATAGAACTTGTTTGACGCTGGTGAAACTGTACTGATTTATCATGAATTCAAATATGCATTTGAGGAAAATTAACTTAAGCGCTATTTTATAGCTGTTTCGCATTATTTCGGGTTCAACGGGCCGACTCGATATAGATAATCGATCGAACTAGCTTTACTGAATTTAGTGGAGAATTAGGAGATCAACAGAGACCTACACTCGAGAGGAATGATATGAAGTTAGGCCCGTTTAATTAGCAAAAAAATGGATAAAATATAAACATGTGTGATCTGTGAATGGAACCTCCTATTCTGGAGACTAGACCTTGCCTGTTTTAGAGAAAAAAAAAAGATCTAAGTTTTGATGACCTTGCCGGTCTCGTGAAATAGATGGCGATCCCGCAACACGGCCCGCAAAACAAATTAACAAAACTATACAATCACGGACACAAAATATCCTAACGGTTTATACAAGCAGATTATAGCAACACCAAAGCTCACACAAATTCGATCAAATAAGCGATATATAGCGATATTTGCTAGTTTCTTAGCTTTTCCTCGACCTCTCTCGTCCACATAACTGTCGTATCCCTCGCTAATTTGCACAAGCGACCCGAGGCTCTTGCCCGTTGCTATGTGACGTCATACTGGCAGGCGGAGTGGGTCAAAAAACTTAGGTGGAAAACAATGGAGCTACCTCACCCCCCTGCCTTGAGCGTTTTGCTGAAACCTTAAAAAGGAACTGTTCCATGAAATGTTTGATTTTTCAGTCATTTGAAAGCCTGCGTAGTTTTGGTCTGGCGCGCAAACAAGCTAAGGCGGGCGAGGGCTGTGAAACCGTGAGGAGATTCGGGCGAGAACAATTCTCGTTCGCACGCGCGCGACAAAAACCGCCATGCTACGCAGGCTAATATATATTTATAAAGCAGTTCGAATCCTACTAGGCAATAAGACTGTTTGGGTTTATTTTGCCATTGTGTTGGTCCGAAAAAATACTTCTATGCTACGAATCGACAATGTCGAAAAGTCAAGTTCATCATTGTCGTGATACAGCTATTTGCAGTACTTCGGTCAAGACGAAAAGACAAAAATTTGGGGAAAATAACAGAACAGATGAATAGACAATGTATTATAACATTGCAAAAATTATTATTCAATCAGTAATTGCTATTGCAAATAATCTTATAGTCTTATGCGCATCATTGAACAGAAAGTACCCGTGATATACCCATCGCACCTGAATAAAGCCTCCGTCTGTAGTCACTAGTATGTCTGTCACTTTTTAGTGGTGATCCGCATTATACGGAGGTACATGTAATCCCGGGGAAACTCATGGGAATTCTTGTTGAGGGTGTGCCACCCAGACTCTTTTTCAGTCCAAAAAAGGTCATTTAAGTTTCACACCGTTTTCCAGACCTAGCCTCTAAGAAATTAGGTCGTCATTACTTAGATTAGAACAGCAACGAGATGGAAAAGGATCATTGACAAGGGCATACAATGAGGCGGGTGGAATGAGGCAACAGACTTGGAAAAATAAATATGCATTGCTGAAGTAATAGCGCTAAACGCTGGGGATCAACGTTTCAGAACATGCACTTCATTGTAAGATCGAGACTGCAAAAATCCTTCCAGTGACTTGCTTGGTCTTCTGCAGGATTAAAAATATGCCCTAAAAAGGAATCTTAAGACCCAGATTCTTAGTCATAATGATTGCCGCTACCCGTTGGAAAGGCTGCAAAAGCTACATGTCTCCTTCGAATGCATAATTATGTGGCAAATAAAGAGGACAAGAGTTCACGTTTCGTGACCACGGCCTAGGTGTACGCTAGCCCTCGCCCTTGTGAATCATTTTATAGAGTTGTACACTTTTCTAAACAGCCTTATTGGGGTTTCATTACCTATACATAACTACGTACGTAGAAACTTTTTTTAAAAGAAATTAAAAAATGAGGATAAAAGTAAAAAAAGTATTATTTCCAATGGGGCAAGCACGAACGGACCCATGCAAGGTACCGCCCGAATAAATCATTCATCATATATAAATATCAACAGGAAATAGTAAATGTTCGCTATGAGCGATGGCATGCGCACAATCTCACAAGGTGACAAAGTGCAGTAAGAGCACGGGTGTTCCACGTCAAATGTTGTCTGCAAAAGGCTTGTCAGAATGGCCGTATTAGTAAGATAACTGTGTATACAGATTTAGACACATGATACAAACAAACAAAAAAGGCTTAAACAAATAACTTATAATAACAAAATAAAACGCAAAGACCAAGTATATAACCCTATTTCCTGCCCAGTCCAATTTATTAGGGAGTTTACGCAAAGACGACGGCGACGGCTACGAAAACGTCACTTAAAAAGTGAATTTGCGCTGCCTCAAACTTAATCGCGCTTATTACATCTCGTTTAATTCGTCAAATGTTGGCAATTTTTTTGGAGTTGAATCTAAACGACTGCATCAAAGTTCAGGAAAAGAAAAAGAAGGTTGATGTATTTTTGTTCCCTTCGTCGACAAACGTGAAATTAGGCAGTTTCACGTTGTAGTCGTGCAACGACGGCAGAGAAATGTACAAAAAGGCGTGATGCGCGTGGAAAGTTATTGTTTTTCTTGTCTTAACCTTCTGCTTTTTTGCCGTTCTCGTTACCGTCGCCGTTGTCGTTGCGTAAACTCCCTATTTTCCGCGCAGCAGTGGGGCCTGGGACCCAGTGGGGCCTAGTAGCGTCACCTCACTCTCTCTTGGTAGCGTTTTATCCCGAGTGGATTCTCGATTTTCTTCGCTAAAATGTGTTGAGCCAATTTTTTATGCATGGCGATTCAAAGGCAATTACATCTGACTGAAGAGTGCAAAAAATTTGAATATCACGAAACAACCGTGTCACGCTCGCGACAAGCAACGCGTGCCAATACTTTTATCACTAGTAATCGTTGACACCACAGCTGCCCCCGCTCTGTATATTGTCGGTCAATAGCATTCTTGCTCGTTGTGTAGCTCTTTGAAATATACCGATTCATAAGGAAGAATTTCACACATATTCCATACAATAGGTGAGATAAATACGAGAAACGCAAGGTTCCATGCACAGTTTCAGGTCGATTTACATGTACTGAGCTTTGATCAAAACATTCTCAGTTTCGAGAATAGTTTATTCTAAACCACAAGAAAAGATTTAAGTAGAAGTTGAATTTCAATTTCTCTTTCACTTTGTACATTCAGTTCATTTTATTTGCCTGACAGGAAGCCTTAGAAATTAAAAGGACGTTTGATCAATTCACACTCGCGCATTCTAGTCTTATTTTAAACTTCATGGCGGAAGGACATCTGTGAGCAGGGAATAAGTCAGCACAGAATTTGATTCTCGGCGAATTTCTGTAATCGTCCATCATTCTGCTAGTGAGAAGCTAGCCGTTGTTCACTGGTCTTGCTTGTTTGGGGCTGAGTCTTATTCTGGTCAAAGAGAGAGAAAGAGTGTCTGGCAAGGTTTCCAGTGGAAGATTTTTGTGAACTCGTGTCTGGCAAACTCTCAAGTGTTGATATATCGCTTTTTCTTGCCGACAGTTAAAACTCTTGAAGGCATTTGTTTAGCTCTTGCGGGGAAATTTCTTCAAAAGGAGTTGCGAATTATTTTTGTATTTAAAATCATTCTATAAAAAAGGATTATTAAATTTAGTTTTAAGCTTATTTATGAACAACTCAACTAAATAAAGTAACGCAAGACTTAAAGTTAATTTGCATTTGTAAACAAAAACCTTTTTCTTTTCTTTTTTTTTTAATATAATAATCTTTATTGATGAATAAGGGCACAAAACACAAGTTAACGATAATAAGATGCCAAAGCCAGAGGCTTATATGGCGTAGATCAGAGAGTTACAATGTGCTGCTAAGTTACAATGAGAATAAAAATTAATAAGTACAAAATTTACAGAGAAAGGGCAAACTATTACAATATATAAAGAATTCAGTGTTACTGCATATAAAGCAAAATAAACATAACAATTAATGATAGTGTGCAAAAGTAATAAAGAAAAGAGTTTGAAGATAGAAGAAAAATTTGAGTTCAACTTAGTTTAAACTTATAATGATTGAAAATAATCTCTCAGTTTATGTTTATAACTAGAAAGAGTAAGTGAATTACGAGGAGGCACCCTAGTAACTCGCGCGTATATTAAGGACAGTATTTACAGTTCAAATATACAGTCAGTATACTAGAAAAAATCTGGATTTGCTCGAACTGGGGCCGCGAGGAATCGGTAGGTAATGATGACCTTTCTATTGTTTGCGCCCGCAAGTACGAAATGGTTAGGATGACGTAAAGACAGAAAATCCCGAAGGGACCGCTCAGGTAGATTTTGTGACATTTATTGCGGTGCAGTCATACTTCGATACTCTTTTGCGTTACGCAGTAACATTCTGTGGAGCAGTTTTTTTGAAAGTTATGGACCAAAAGACACTCGTTAAGTGCAGGGGAGGTTATAAGGTGCGTTTAACTGTGTATATATAAACACTTGGAGAGGTTTGCCAGACACGAGTTCACACATCTTTGATTTATTTTGGAAACCTTGCCAGACACTCTTTCTCTCTCTTTGACCGGAATAAGACTCAGCCCCAAACAAGCAAGACGAGTGAACAACGGCTAGCTTATCACTAGCAGATTGATGGACATTTACAGAAATTCGCCGACGATCAAATTCTGTGCTGACTTATAAAGTTTCAAATGAGACTAGAATGCGCTAGCGTGAATCGATCAAACGTCCTTTTAATTTCTACGGCTTACTCTCCGGCAAATAAAATGAACTGAATGTAAAAAGGAAAAGAGAAATAGCGAAAACTTCAACTTCTAATCAAATCTTTTCTTATGGTTTAGAATAAACTATTCTCGAAACTGAGAATGTTTTGATCAAAGCTGTGTAAATCGAGCTGAAACTGTGCATGCATGGAACCTTGCGTTTCCTGTATTTATCTCACCTATTGTATGGAATATGTGTGAAAATCTTCATTATGAATCGGTATATATTTTCAAAGAGCAACACAACCAGCAAGAATACTATTGACCGACAATATAAAGAACGGGGGCAGCTGTAGTGTCGACTATTACTAGTGGATAAATCCATGTCAAAAAGACAAAGCTTTACCTGTTAAAACTTCCAATCCGAAATTCGTCACCTTCTTCGTGTATTTCGGAAACAGCTTGCTTGATTAGTTGTGAAATTTCTTTGTTTGTTTACGGCAGCAAACCCGGAGGGCATTTTCCTCGCAACTTACGCGAGTTTGGCGTTGCTCGCTCGGAGGAACTGGAGGTGAATCAGTGAATAGTGCAGGATATTCACTGATTGAGTAGCCAATCAGAGCGCGCGAAAAACACTATCCACTGTTTTAGTATATACTAAAGACAGTTATACGCACCTTATAACTTCTTCTGCGCTTAACGAGTGTTGTTAAAATTTTGGTCCATAACTTTCACTGAAACAACTGCTCCACAGAATGTCACTGATAACACGTAACGCAAAAGAGTGTCGAAGTATAAATGTCACAAAATCTACCCAAGCGGTCTCTTGGGGACGTTCTGTCTTTACGTCATCCTAATCATTTCGTACTTGCGGGCGCAAACAATGGAAACGTCATCATTTCCTACCGACTCCTCGCGGCCACTGTTCAAGCAAATCGAGATTTTTTCTATATTGACTGTATGACTGTATATTTCAACTGTAAGTACTTTCCTTAATATACGCGAGTTACTAGAGTGCCTCCTCGGGATTTCGCCTTCTGGGGGAAATCCCTGCGGGGGCAACAAACAAGACAAAAAAGAGAAACAATATTTTTATAGTAAAAGCGATTGATTCAGGCACAATAGTATCCTCTACAAACCAAGAAGGACATTACAAACAGCGAAGTTAAAGGAGCAGAATAACAAGGCAAGTGTTCGATGATTTCATGTCTTCGAAATTTCTGGAAATTCAAACGGCGGTCAAGTTCGAAAACTTAAAGAGCACAAAAATTTTATTCCTTTATATTTGTTTTACTATCATTTCTAGTTTGTATTGATACAGATAGCAATGTTCAGACAGGTGCCATACTTTTTAAAACTGCCCTCAAAGTTGATCGAGTCTAACCCTTTGTTTTGCTTGTACCTGTTTTCTTAGATTTTTGTGCCAGAAATCTCCTTAATTTTGTTTTTGTTCATGCACAGGCATGTGATAGATTACGTACTTCTTTGCCGAAAAGCAAACTCTAGGTTGTTCAGTTTATTGCGAGGACCACGATCACTTCGTTTTTTTTAAAAACTTCATTACAAAATGAAAACACATTTTAACAATAAATCGTTTAATTGATCTTGCTGTCCTTTTAGTGATGTTTCCATGATTCGTTTTTGCTTCATTTTACTGAAAGCCACAAAATTGGTGGCAATAAAAAAAGTATTGGGTTTTCACTAGCCGAACATGTGCAAACTTGTTTGTTTATATATTATTTATTATACTTTATTTATAATATCTAAATTTCTCCATACTAGCATATATATACTTGCATGAAAAATAGAATAGGATGACCTTTAAACTCGCTTTCAATTTGCCAAATTTCAAAGGCCTTATTTTTCCTCTGTGTTCTGCGAAGTCTCAGTGGATTCCATTGGTTTGTGTTGTTCTACTTTTGAAGTGCCATGATGGTTAGAAACGGTAGAAATTCCTCCATTTTTCGTTTGTTTTGCTTGTTGTGCTTAACTCGCTTATACTTAGTTGCACGCGTGAAGGCCTGATATAACATTTTATCTATCTTAGCATTATTTTTCTTAGCATTGTGCACTTTGAAGTCTCGTTTTTGGCTATTTGTGACAATTCAGTAAGAGTTATAAAATCTAACAGAAACTCAACTGAATGCACTTCCTATTGCCCACCGAAATGGCTGTAGGTAACCTACATGTAAGGTTAAACATGTCAAGAACAAGAAAGCATATAAAAGCTTGACAACCAAACTTCGAGGCCGTTCCTAAATGAAAACAGGAATTTCGATAAAGGTAAAACCCGAGGTCAGCTGCTTTCTCAAACGTGCCCACTTCAAGGAGCGACACTCGAATTTAATTAAACCACAAGAGAGATGACAGTTACATTGACAAACCCATATAAAAAAGTAATAACATTCAAAAACCGGTCGACACATATACGAGTTAACCTTTACTTAGACCAAAATCCTCAGAAGGAGTGACAGCTCGAGCAGAGTAAGTACGGGCCCAAACAAACCGACCACGACATTGCTGATGGCAATAAAAGAAGTTTTGTCTACTGATTTAATTTTGGAAATACATCAAATTTGTTAATGGCAATGGTTTATCGTAGACCATCTCGAAAATATCAGCGAGACACGGCGCTTTCGATTTTCCTCATTTCTCCGGGGATTTGTCCCCGACCATTCAAGACGCGGCTACTTTGTTAGATGTAGTTTTCATTATTGCCACTATTCAGCAAAACCTGGGAAGGAATGAGTGTCGGGGAATTCGCAGACGATCGGGCCTTCGCGAGCATCCCAAACAACCGGGTATGTTATTTGCGAGGACTTTCCCAATGCCGTTCCCAAATGCCATTATAGCGATCGGACGAGGAAAAAACCACTTTTAAGGCAATTGAAAAACATCGGTATGGCGTCTAAAAAGACTGTATCGAAACACCTTAAGAGGGAGTCTCCCTAAAACCGGTCCACTGCCTTTCGGGTCGGAAAATCAATTTCCTTTAAACTTTTCCCATGAATATATCTTAGTCCAAAAGTAATTGAAACCGCATTAGTTTTTGAAAATATTTCAAAATAAAATTTTTCGGGAGGAAAATCACTTCAGCACTCGGCGGCCAAATTTTCGCAGTGACAAAGAGTGAAAATAGCCCAAATTGCCGAGTTCACCACTTCAAAGTTTTGCACTTTCAACGATTTTTTTCACTTCCTAGGACTAAATTGGTCCTTAAATGATGTAAAGGACACAATTTTGGTCTTTCAAAAACAACTCGTGTCTACTAAATATTTTTTGATTTACACCCACCGTGCCGTACGCAGGAAATGACTCAAAAATGCATATTTTCATCCTAGCACTGTGCAAAATCCCCACATCTTCTAAACAAAATGTCTTTTCAGACCAACAAAGGGAATGTCCAAAAACATAGAAACATAAAAATATGTTGTGATTTTAACGATTTATCAGCACAGCTGATCGACGAAATATGCCTATTTTCTGTTATGACTGTTTACAATACACGATGCAAGGTCTTAATGCAAAGCCCGAATAACACAATAATTCATCAAATGTGTCAAGTATTTTAAACTTTTTGTGACTTTTGACATAATAGAACATCATGCAGGAAAGGAAAGCCTTTAAGCCGAACGCATTAATACTACAGGTGTACCTGTTTACAGCGCTTGATCCGATCGAATCGTCTTCGCTGTGTACACAAAACTGATATCACATGATGGCGCCTGTCACGCATTCCTATATCTGGAATCGTTACGCCGCGAAAACACTTTTTGCTAGTCTGACTAAAACTGACAGGCAGGAAATTATCTTATCAATAGAGTATTCTATTATATTTATTGCTGTTTTCGTTGACAAGCTACAATATCAAGAATCATGCATGCATAAGTGCCCAGTGCATTAACAACAGCAACATTTTAGTTTTCCAGGAACAGGCTCCTATCCATTCAGGTTAGGATTTATAAAACAATTGGTCGTCTCTATGAGCTTTCACTTTGTTTTTTTTTTATGTTTGTCGTTAATGTTTTTATTTATTATTTTTTTAAATATATTTCATATTTCTGGTAGCCCGTGGTATTAAACCGACGAGTACCTGTTCTCAGGTCTTATCAAGTTCCCTGACTCAGGGTGGGGTTAGGAATAGGGGTGGAGTGTGCTTGCTAGCAGGAGGTCCGCTAGACTGTTCACAGTCCTCTATTTTTCCGTAAATCGTCGGTATCAAGCACATTCTCTAACAGGTGGCCTTCTTGGTTTTAAAATGTACCGGGTTTAGCCTGGGGATGACTATGAAATCTACTCTTGGGGCAGCGGACCCAAGAAGGCCCGCACATCTGGACGATTTTACGGAAAGATAAGGGACAGTGAACAGTCTAGTGGCCCGCAAGCAAACATCCCCCTTGCTATTATCCTAGAACAAATACTGTATCTTTGAAATTAGGTTACCCTGCATTTAAAACTGGCGTGCTGGTTTACCTCGTTTAGGGCTTTCGATTTGGACTCTATTCCTTCCGTTTCCGACTAGTAGTTTTAGCCAGGGCTAAAAGCGCCGCTCTGACTCGTTAATATACTAAAAGTTGTACCCCAGAAAAAAAAAAAATTAATAAAAATCGTGTAATGCTAACCGGTGACGGCAACGAGAAATGCAACAAAAAATCAATAGGGCTTAAGAGCGAAAAAAAAAGTTTGCACGTGCAGCACATTTTTTTGTGCATTTCTTTGCCATTGTTTTGCACGACTTCAAAGTACGTGAAACGTCCTAGTTGCACGTTTTATGGAGAAAAAATCGTATATGTTCCCACGTTACATTTTTGTTTCACTGCCGCTCATTTTAACCTTGCTGGCCGCTAACATTTGTCATTTTCTCATCGCAGCTTTGAATTTTTTTTATGTTTTTTTCTTCCGCGATGAACTTCGTCTGCTTTCTTTTTTTTCTTTTTGTTTTGTTTTGTCAGTTTCGCTCTAGCTCTTTCTCTGTTATCGGTGTCAGTGTAATGGTAGTAGGGGGAAACAGTCGAACGCACGATCACGTGATTACGAAATTTTCTCGCATCTTACAGGTTACCATTTTTTTTTTCGCGCGCGCGAGAGCTTCGCTAATACTCATTCTCTATTACGGAAAGTGGTTAATTATTAATAGTGCCATATTTTCAAATTCTTGTCCCGTTATTGCCGAAATGCACATATTAAGCTAGCGATTTTCCTGAAAGGTTGTGAATTCACAGTGAGCCCGCGGAAGAAAAATGAGTAATAATAGGCAGGGTACAAACTCACCGAGGTAGAGTCGTTTTAACTTCTTCTCGCGTCTTTTCCAACAATCTTTTTCACTACACAAGAGCACTCTACAACCATTTTAGTTATCTTTTGAAGAAGATCAGGTTTCCAGGTTCTTGTGCCAAATGAAATCCCAAGCAAATTGCTTTTGAAAGAAAAAGAGTGATTTCTGTGAGCCATCTCGCACATACATCAGAGGACGTTTGGCAGCAATTGTTTCCACAGCTTCGCTGCCATTTCTTTCTCCAGGTTCCTCATCGTCCGCTTAGTATGTATAGTCTTTTATTTTTTTTTCAAATGATTTTGTTATAAAAATATTGCGAAAAAAATCGTTAAATGTTTACTTTTGAACCACTCGGCTTTGGTAAACATTCGTGTACGATCTGCGTTGCCAGCCCTCTGCCCCTCAAGGGGCACCTCTTCAGCTCAAAAATGGTATACAAAAGGTGGGTTGGACGATCAGGCTGGAGTCTCCCAGTATAACACTTTGTTGTATACCCCACCCCCTCCGATAGGGCGGAAAGGTAAGTTCGCTAATTAGACATATTGGTGTTGTTGTTGTTGTTTTGTTTTTGCAATTCTCGTTGCCGTTGCAGGTTAGCATCACACGATTTTCTTTTTTGCTGGAGTACAACTTCAAGTATATCAACAAGAGCTGCTCTTTTAGCCCTGTCTAAATCTATATATTAGCGAGTTTGAAAGAAATCGAAAGCGCTAAACGAGGTAAACCACCATGCCACTTCACAGTCCTTAAATTCTTTACTAAGTCCTTAAATTTTCCGTAAATTCGTCGGGATCAAGCACATTCTCTAACAGGTGGCTATCTTGGTTTCAAATGTACCGGGTTTAGCCTGGGGACGATAATGATACAGATACAGTATTTGTTCTAAAATAATAGCAAGGGGGGGTATTCGCTTGCAGGCCACTAGACTATTGTTAATCCCGGGGGGTACTTCCTCATAAGAGGCTACTAGGGATGTGCCGCTTGATGGGGTCGTATTTTCACGACTGGATTAACTATAATGGGGTCGCATTTTCAATAGAGTAACTAGAATGGGGTGGCACATTTTCGGATTTTTTGAGGTTGTAGATGAAAGGTGAAGTGTTCTTTATTCTAAAAAATGGGTCAATTCATAAAAATAGAGAGTGCCTAATTTGGGATCGCGAAAAATTACATATTTGCCCAAAAGTGGCTAAGATGGGGTCTATAATTGATTGGCCGCAGAATAGACTATAATGGGGTAGGGGCTCTGAGAGGGCAGCGGCACGTACACACATACATACATACTCAGCAAACTCCCCCCCTCCCCGGGTTGTTTACGCACTATAGGTTCTTACGCATGCATGATTCTTGATTTTGTAGCTTGTCAACGAAAACAGCAATAAATATAATAGACTACTCTATTGATAAGATAATTTCCTGCCTTTCAGTTTTAGTCAGACTAGCAAAAAGTGTTTTCGCGGCGTAACGATTCCAGATATAGGAATGCGTGACAGGCGCCATCATGTGATATCAGTTTTGTGTACACAGCGAAGACGAGTCGATCGGATCAAGCGCTGTAAACAGGTACACCTGTAGTATTAATGCGTTCGGCTTAAAGGCTTTCCTTTCCTGCATGATGTTCTATTGTGTCAAAAGTCACAAAAAGTTTAAAATACTTGATACATTTGATGAATTATTGTGTTATTCGGGTTTTGCATTAAGACCTTCCATCGTGTATTGTAAACAGTCATAACAGAAAATAGGCATATTTCGTCGATCGACTGTGGTGATAAATCGTTAAAATCACAACATATTTTTATGTTTCTATGTTTCTGGACATTCCCTTTGCTGGTCTGAAAAGACATTTTATTTAGAAGATGTGGGGATTTTGCACAGTGCTAGGATGAAAATATGCATTTTTGAGTCATTTCCTGCGTACAGCAAAGTGGGTGTAAATCAAAAAATATTTAGTAGACAGGAGTTGTTTTTGAAGGGCCAAAATTGTGTCCATTACATCATTTAAGGACCAATTTAGTCCTAGGAAGTGAAAAAAATCGTTGAAAGTGCAAAACTTTGAAGTGGTGAACTCGGCAATATGCGCTATTTTTACTCTTTGTTACCGCAAATATTTGGCCGCCGAGTGCTGAAGTGATTTTCCTCCCGAAAAATTTTATTTTGAAATATTTTCAAAAACTAATGCGGTTTCAATTACTTTTGGACTAAGATATATTCATGGGAAAAGTTTAAAGGAAATTGATTTTCCAACCCGAAACGCAGTGGACCGGTTTTAGGGAGACTCACTCTTAAAATGCAACCGCTGCAATCTACAATGTATAGGTGAAACTAAGCGACTCCCCCAGGGCAGATTTAACGAGCACAGACGTCCAGTGAACAAAACTAAAATGACATTAAATCTAAACCCACTACTGTTTCTGAACACTTTCTCTCACTCTCTGTCTATTCTTACACTGACATGCGGTTAATCCCATTAGAGAAAGTTTATTCCTCATGTGACTCAGTCCGTAACTGTAATCTGCATAGATTCTCTATTCTCCTTTTATGTTGTACTTCATTTCCGCCTCTCCCATTTAAACGAGCTTTAGTGCGACATTCTCCATCTATATCATGGTAAATTCTATTGAGAATTTAGTAGCATCTGTAAACCTGAACAAGGCTGGTATGGCCAGCTGAAATATTGTTTAAAAAATCAATTACCGTTGTTATCAGCTTTGCAACAGTCTTACTCTATGCACTTCGCGGTTTTTTTTCAGATTTCATGTTGAGACAGGATTTAAAAAACAAAAACAATTTGGACACTCGTGGGGAAAATCTCTATCGGCTAACTGAAAAAGGCCACCTGACCAGGCCTTGACGTCACCTTTGCAGTTTTCAGTGCGAATTTTGAACGCGAAGTGGGAGGGTTTCTCGGAAGTCATTTGAATGAGAGAGATTTGAGCAATACGTTTCTTTTCGTTGCGTAAACATGTAACATTTTTGCGGTGCAAGCCTTTTTTTGTTGCATGTTTAGGTTCCATACAGGTGCCCTATAATTAACTCAAAAGGACGAGCACGCATCTATTTGTGGTTGAATTTAAAAACGCCACTACTGCCGCTGCTTCTGCTTGCAAACGTATAGTATTTTGCTCTTGATGGAATTTTCTACGCCGGGAACAAAAAAAAAAAAAAAAGTGTGCAGCTGCTTCTCTCGTGCCAAACTTCAAATTTAACACAGCAGGAACACTACTAATGAATCTAAGTCGTGCTATTGATGTGCATGCCGAACTGAATTCAAATGCTTTCTTTGCATTAAAATAAGAAGAATGCATTTAAAAAGTTGTTTAACCCGTCTTGTTTTGATTTCTTTGCATTTTTTTTTACAACAGGTGGCTGAACACAGATTCTGTTTAAATTCTCTATCCATTTACTTGCAAAGTTAACACCATTATCTCGAGAAGATATGTAGCCAATAAGCTTTTATAAAAAAAAAAGTGCGACAAGAAGTTGTCAGTAGAAATTTACTCTTCTTTCGTCTTCTTTGGCATATCGTGTGATCTCAGCCCCCCAACCCCTCCCCCAAGTTTTCAGCATACAGCTGAACGTACATAGGGAGCAATGTTTGAGAGCGTATTTTGTTGAATTTCATAAGCAGTGTAAACGAACGACAATAGAGACCTTATAAAATAAAATACACCGTTTAAGTGTACGAGTACGAGTAAATAACCCGTACGCATAGCCGTAAATAAGAGTAGATTGCCTCTTACCCCGGAAAAACGGGTAGGCTACCGGTTAGAACGGTAACGCCATCATCTCAGCTGGGAAACATTTGTCGCCACCTTTTATTTAGCTACGTGGCCAACGTGGTCGCCTCAAGGTCGCTAATAATGTAAAACCTACCCATTAAAATTTGGCACAAATCCTGTTTATACGTTGCACTTAAGTCACTGTAAACCTCAAAATAAATCTTGAACAAAGGAGTTTTGTGATACAAGAAAGTTTCTCATAAACGATTTTTTCTTAAAATAGTCAAAAGCTGTTGTTATAATTTGGTTGATTTATTTCATCGGCTCCCGAAGTCACTAATTCTAAGTTATGCGCAAATTTATAAGAAAGTGTAACGACTGGATTTTGCGTAAACCTAATAAATTCCAAATTTTGAGACTAGCTAAAAATCACTCTCGTTGCCATGGAAACATACGAAATCCTTCGTTCAACGGAATAAAAATATATGTTTCCAATGCCAAATTTGACCTTTATACCTGCAACGAGTCTTAGCTATGAACACCTGAAATTAATGGAATCGACTCCGATCTATCGAACTTGTTAGGCTACCTTAATTTGACTGTATTAGATTTTTTCGTGCAACAGCTGCTTGACAGTCGAGCTACAATCGACCAGCTTAGCAGTGCAGTAGCACGACGTTTGAAACAGGCCTAAATTGCTTATTAATTTTTTTTTAGACTGTCAAGCTTGTTAGGGCGTAGTTCTTTTCACCCATCCATTTCTTACCTCGCATAGATCATTTAAGTTTGCAGTATTTTGTTGCTGAGGTGTGGTCGTTGTTTCTAAGGAATCTCCAGCAATGCAAAGAATCAACAGAAGAGCAAAATGCTGCACCATGTTGGGAGTTAGCAAAGTTCACCGCCGTTACTGCGTTAAGCGCCGAGACTCGTCGGTTAAATAGCAAAAACCTTAAGATAATGTTTTCTTCCTGTTTCAGATTGTTTGTTCTTGTATTTTTTTCTTTTTCCTTTAACAGTAGCCATCTTGCAAATTCTTAACCGCTGTTCACGTTCTCTCTTCCGGGGTACTGAAATAGGTTCAAACGTTAATGATGACATCATCAAAATAAATATTACAAATTGGGACAAAGTTCTTACAATTGCAACAGGTAGTACAAATTACGACAAAATTATTACAAATTAGGATAGCTATTTCAAATTATGATAAAACAATAAGGTCAAAGTACAATTTTGAAATGTTGCAGTTCAATGAAAACCTATCTTTTTAAAATAGCTCACTTGTGTAGTTAAATATAGAATATATGAATACCTTTTCTTTGCTTGTGACAAAATCAGCTTTCCAAAGCATACAATGGAAACCAGCTATTGCAGAGCGCTGTTTGAGGAAAAGCCCTAGGTAAGTCAGTGTAGAGAAGCAGTGTCTAAACTCAGCTCCTAAAGACCAAGGCCAAATAACGAGCCTGATCATCCCCCACCCACCCACCCAACCTTAACCAAACAACTCTTAAGACTCGTCTTTGGTCGCGCCTTCACTCAGGCTAAAAGTAAATGGGCGTTTTTAGACCAAGGACATGGCGTTTGTGTCAAGTACAAGTTTTAAATGTTTGGTTATTTGTTATAGAGAGCGAGATGGGAACGTGCAAGGGGGAGTGGGGGCATCCTTCCTTTTTCTCCGGTCATGCGCAAACGTCGTCGAAATCTCCCTTCGCCCTAAAAAAAAAAAAAAGCCGGCGCCTGCTGAATGCAGGCTACGAAGGACAGCGAAATAAGGACAAAACATAATTACATTAATTCAATGCGCCTCTGTGAATTTTGATTCCTTATTCAGGTTTCTGATTCCTAATTTCCAATCCGGTCTAAGTCCCTTATTTTTCACAATTTCTTTCTTCGACTCTGTCTTACGTTGGCTCTAATTTGCAAATTGGAGTGCCGAATGCAGCTTGACATAGATTGATAAAATGGGAAAGGGTTATAATCTCTTGACTGGGTACATTAAAGAAGCTATTGTAAATTTTAGTTTTTATCCCATTAAATAGGGCTCATTCAAGTACATTTTAGGTCTTAAAATTTGTCCGTCTTATTTTAAAAAAGAATTAAAACGTAAACCATTAGCTTTTAGTCGCTAAGTGTCTTCGAGTATTCTCATTCAGTACTTATCGTTTGTCACCTTCTATCTTGCCCGTCCTTCTCACTGTGATGCAAACAAAGATACAAAGCTTAAATTGTTTGCTGATTGAGCAAAAAAATACAATTTAAAAAAAATGAGAATGAAAATAATCAAATCCGTCAATGAACGCTAGCACCGATAACTGTTTAAAGTACCTTATTAATGAGAAATTTTATAGGAACTCATTTTCAAAGTGATCCAAATTTCTCGAAACAAACTATTGAAACAACAGATATTTTTTGGCAAAAAAGCTAATAGAGATAGACATTCACTACAACTAAACATATTCCAATTAATTAACCTCAATAGGACATGAAATAATTTTTAAAATAAAAGCTTAATTCAAAACTGTTCCGACTGTAAGAAAACAAGTATTACTGGAGCGCAACATTGTTATGCGTTAAATGTGCTACTTGCGCCCCCCCCCCCCCCGAAAAAAAATATGAGCAACGGTAAACCAGCCATATCCACTCTTCTCCAACTTCAGCCATGCATTGCAGGACTAAATCTGATTCAGTATTAGTTACCGACGTTTTCTTTCTTTCTTTTGACGTAGGCAATCAGGGCCATTGTTTTGTCACGCAATTTGGAAAAACCACGAAATGTATGGTATAAGAAAACGTCATGAGGTCGTTGAAATGTATTTACTTTTACTTTTATTTTTTGAATCCTTAAACATTTCTTTTGTCTGAAAGGAGGGGACGTCCCATTTTTCATTCAACATTAATTTTAGGTAAGGTTCGTAAGTAAACTTCTTAAAGGAAAACTTTTATTTATCTCATACATATCTAAATGAAAGTACCTTCATCGCAGTTGTAATAGGTATTTAACCAATTCCACCCTCCTCTCTCCAACAAAAAAAAAAACAGGGATTTAACTCGATTTTAACCCCCTGGCTTTGCATTAGCCTAGCAGTGCTCTACCAGCTAAGCGATGAAGAACCATACAAAAAAAGCAGAACACTTTTTTGGAAAACCAAAAATGATCGATCTCCAGGTATTAGTAAAAGTCAAGCTGTTGCCGTACACGGCTTTATTTGCACCCAGAACTTTTCCACTATAACAAAACAAATTACACAAGAAGGCATCATGATACAGACCTTTAAACATGCATGTCTGAACATGCTTTTCTGAGCAAACACCACAGCGGCAAAAACAAACAAACAAACAAACAAAAAATTGAGACTCCTTTATTAGGACTGGGGCCTAGATACTTCCTCAATCATTATCCGGGACACTGAACTCCACCCAGTGTAAGAATCACCCAGGGTGTAGCTACTACACTGTCCTACCCACAATTCCACTCTAACTGCGCCTTGTGGGATATTCTCACAATACCCCTCAAATGATCGATGATATTGCAGGTCAGGAACGCGCCCAGATGGCCAGCCACTGTACACGACGGCCTCAATCGTCATTGGTCCACTGCATTCGTTTCCGTTAAACTTGAAGTACCAGCGGCTACACTTACAATGACTATTTAGACGTAAAGTTCCCTGGAATGAGACTCTGAGCGCTGAATTAGATTGCAGCTTGTTGAAAGAACAGTCCTGTTGTAGAATCAAATCAAAAGTAGTAAGTAATGTTACCAAACTCTTTTAGTCATACATTACTTCATGGAAAGTCGGCCCGAGTGAGATTTTTGTCAACAACAACAACAACAACATACAACAACAACATAAGCTTTATTACCAAATAAAAGTTAAACTTAATTCACAATGTAATATATTAATACAAAAAAAGGTAACATTTACTCAGAATAACTGAAAAGCTAATCGAGCTGAGTAAAGCTAAATAATGTTCAGGCATAGGAGGTAGGTTGGCACTTTGTTTGTGTAAGGCAGAACAAGTTGGCAATCGCGGAGTTACTGGAAAATAATAAGTAAGTTAATTGAAACAACCAAACAGTATGTGGACCTATTTGCCGGTCTCGAAACGCAATTATCGCGTAACTGAGCGCAGCGTGAGTAGCATGGGGCACGAGAGAGCTGACTGGGGAAGGAGATTTACCCTTATCCTTATGCCTATTATATTTTTCTTGCTTTAATCTTATAAAACGCTTTAAAGCTATTTTCCAATTAGTAAACAGAGACGCCGGCTATTTATCATTACTTCATTGACATTTATTATCCTGCAAAATCTTTTTTTACCTTAATCTTTCCGTTATCAGTACCGCTCCCTGATTTCCACACACATTGTTTCCAGTTGGTTTGTGGTACTACACTTGCTTGAATTGCTTTGGCGCTTTCTCCTTTCTCTCCTTTGTCTCCTTTTCTTCCTTGATTTCCCACAATGCCTTGCTGTCCTTTCATTCCCGCCAGCCCCTGTTCGCCTTTTATTCCCACAAATCCACGTTCACCTTTTATTCCCTTAATTCCTGTCGGTCCGCTCTTCCCAGGAGGCCCTTCGCGCCCTCTGTCTCCTCTTGGACCCGGCATTCCTTGGGAGCCCTTATCACCAATTTGCCCTTTCTCGCCTTCTCTTCCCTGGAGTCCTTGCAGCCCGGGAGCGCCGGGCATTCCCGGCATGCCATTTGATCCTGGAATACCAGGAAAACCATGACCCAGTATAGATTTCTGAAATGATAAACTTTAATTAGTATGTGTAATCAAATGATGACGAGTGAAATTAGGGAAGAATTTTACGCGCGTTTTGTCCGAATCCCATTCTCGGGCCTTTTTACCTATTAATATTATGGCTGACGAATTACGCTGGCAATCAAGGATTTTTGATAAGTTTATCCTGGTTCGTAACGATCGAGAACGCCACTTCTCAAACGTTTAGAACTTAAATTGGCTTAAGTTGAGAATTTTCAGAAAATATTTGACAAAATATCTGTTAGAATCCCTCTTGGTGTGCTCTTTTTCTAAAGCGTGTTTTAATGTCCTGATATCTTCATTTCAACATTTTAAAACTTCGTCGCTATCATGGCACTGAAAAGTACGGAAGGTTGCCATGGAATATTGTAATTTCATCGGCGTTAATTTATGCCATTCAAAAAGTTAATTAAATCCATAAAAAAGGGGACTAACCGGTCCCTGCCCCTCTAGTCGTGACCACAGGCTTTGAGTTCACTTTTGCGTTTTCAAAGCGGTTTTTAAACGTGGAGAGGCAGGTTTTCATGTAAGTCATTTACCTGAGGAATTGAGCCGTACACTTCCATTATCGTCAGGTTTATTATGTAACCATTGTGCGGAGCAAGCTTTTTCTAGTTGTTAAGGTGCCAATTGACACCAAGCAGTGAGGGAATACGATTTGTGGTTGAATTAAGAGCAGCAGTGCTGCTGTTCAAAGTTCAACTCTTGATTGCGACCGCCTTAACTGAAAATTTGTTGTAGTACCTTTAAATTTCGAAAGTGACGACCCTCGCTACTTTCGGATTTATCAGCCTTTTCCCATCACTGCTTTCGGAAGGTCGCTACTTCCCAGTAGCTAAACCGTGTACCATACTTAGGCCATACGAAGTTACGGCAATTAATAGTATCGCGACAAATGTGAAAACATCTACACATGCATTTTAATTCGGAGAACTTATTTCATGTTATCGCCACACTTTTTATTTAAAAACATTTATTTCATCTTATTTCTTTTAAACTAAAAGTTCGAAAGAATTGTTTCAAAGATGAAAGGAAGAAAAAAAAAAGTAATACACCTTTGGAATTTCATTGTGTTACATTTAGAGTTTCATTTACATGTACGTAAAGGAATCTCAAAGATCAATATAACCGTTCAAAATAAACCGCGGATCATCATCATTCCGTTAGTTCTAGCAAAAAGGAAAACATCTTCTGAAGTCGTTACTTTCGGAAGGCCGTTATTTTCTGAGGATTAAATTAACTGCAAAAACCTTGGACGAAGATCCTGCTAGTTGGATCTCTAGAAAATATAAAGAACCAAGAACGAGAAGTCCAAAGACTACTGCAAAGCTGATTCAAAACAACGTGTATTGTTTTTTTATAACAATATTTATTTATTTTCTGAGGGTCGCTACTTTTAGCCTTTGCTAACACCTGTGAAATTTTATCGCTTTTTCGGAGGGTCGCTACTTTCGAGTGTCGTTGCTTTCAGGCCCCGGTTCCTGAAAGGTCGATTAGCGCTGATCCAGGATTAAAAATTTTGTTCTATTTCTGTATTTACCTTCCTATGCTTTCCCTAGAGTAAAATTCTATGTTATCATCACTGAATCGCGGAGTAAAGACACAAAAGTATTTTGTAAGCTCGAGTAACATATTCTTAGACAAGAAAACCTTGCTTAAAATTTGGCTTAACCCATTCGCCCCTGAACCACCCGTAACCGCCCGTGCGGATCCAGGTCCTTTCTACCCTTTGTGACGTCATCAGTTTTAACGGTCAAGGACAACTTTCTTCGCACACGTGTGCAGAGTGAAGAGATCTTTCAAACCATACCAGAATGAGCACAATTCAGTCAAGGACACCGGAGAAAGAAGCAAAAAACCACCTGACAAGGACCTGAAAATCTCCATGAAAATCTTGTTCCCTTACCCACCTACCTTTCCTTTCACCTAATCCTAAGATCCTAAAAGCTTTTCATAAAAACTCTTCCCACCAAAATGAAGCCTACTAAATGCCCAGCAAGAGAAAAAAAAAAATGAGGCAAGAAAAGCGAAAAAAGAAGGGAGGAGAGAAAGCGAAAAGTCCAAATTTTGCTTTCTGCGCATGCCCGAACTTCGCAAACTGATATTTTGCATCTGGATCAGAAGACCGCAAAGTGTACGACCTGTAAACCGGTTTGTGGTAAGTTTTAGCTCTTTATAGCACGACAGTGACCAGAAAACCACTCGACTAGCTTCAAAACGCGTTTTTCGGCAAAATCTCCAGGAGCGAATGGGTTAAGCAGAGTACCAAGCTTTTTGAAAAAAATCCACTTTTCAGCATAAAACAACCAAATCTGTCTATTTCATGTAAAATCAGGTGAAAAAGTTGGTAAAAGGCCATTTTTAGGTTTTTTGATTAATCCCGGTATTCTAATCCGTGGCTGGTTTCTCTGCAATACAATGCAAAAACAACAAAAGCAAAACAAAACAAAACAGACTAACAAATCTTACTTGCTTATAATTGCTTTTGTAAGACTGTCTCAAGATAAATCGGGTTTTTATTTTTCTAAAACAGTTGCTAAATCCTAAAAACCTTTGTCAAATTAAGGTTGAAGCGTGTAGAATGGGGTGAATCTTAAGTAGTAAACTTGAGACATGAAACCATCGTTTCTTGTTGGCCGTTAAAGGGATAAGCCTGTCAGTGCTCCAAATTCACGGCGCGTTCCTTTTTACCCACATCTATCTCTTACCTCACATGATTCTTTTATCTTTGCGGCGTTTTGTTGTTGAGGAGAGGTAGTTGTTCCCAGGGAACCTCCAGAAACACAAAGAATTAACAGAAGAGCGAAATACTGTACCATGCTGAGAGTTAATCCAGAGTACAGTTTTTATTGCGTTTTGTACTCAGAGCTCGTCAGATAAATCGTAATATATAGATTTAGCCACGGCTAAAAGCGAAGCTCCCATTAATAAATTTATAATTTAAATCAAACAATAAACTTGTAATCCACAAATCGGTTAACTTAAGGGCACATTCATGTGACTTTTGAGGGAAAGGCTAAGTAATTTTGGAGTGAAACATCTTACATCGAGTTGATAGCCTTATATGTACATCCAAAAAATAGCAAACATGTTCGATCACATTCAAGAGCCATAATGGCTCTTGATCACAGTAGATTAGGCCTCGAAAACAAATTCCTGGAAAACAAATCAGGCCGAATCTTTTTGCGTTCGACAGGTTTACTTTACAAATTCTTGCCAACAAATCTGGGAGTGTGTAAACCAACCTTTCATACTCTTTCAGTATATCACATCTGAGGTGAAAAAGTACTATTTATCATACAAATCTCGTACAGAATGCGGCATTTCACAATTTTTCAAGACAAATTGCACTTAGTCAATATTCAGGACGATCAATCGTGGGCTTTTAGCGAAACCTTTCAAAAAAATTCCAAAATCACCCATACGGCCAGCCGGTTCTCATTTCTAGTGCGAGCTGTCAGTGTGGTCGAGTGTTTGAATGAACTTTAATAGAGTTGCGCTTCAACATAAATACGAATTTATCATTATTATTTTTTGTTATTTAATGGTTTCAGTTATAACGATATGTAATCTTATGAAGCGTTTGATACGCGCGACATTTTTTAGTACTCCTGCAAGCGATGTTCATGAAAGATGAAAACAAACGGCACGTACAAGCGATTAAAATTGCAAGAGAGACTACTAACAATCAATAAAAGAAATATAATTCGATGAAACATTTACAGAGGCAACAATTTTCATTCACGAAGACAGGTAAAAGTGTCCCTAAAAATCCTGAGTCGTTAAGCTTAACTTAATTATGTTTTACTTTAAGCCGGCCTCCCGGTGTTTGCTTTTTTCAATGATGAACTCCTCGAAGCAAGAAAATCGCTCAAAGGTTTCTTTCTACAGCCAAATTTATAACTAAATATTCTTCGGAACGTTTTCTTTCTATTTGTGGTGAAAAAATATATCTGAAGGCCTTTTAAAGTTCTGTAAGCTTATATCAAACCTGACACTAGGTTAGATCATTGACTCAAATCTTACAAACGTGCATAAACTTGCCGCATAAACTGTGCTCGACTTCATGAAATTAGATATAACAAAAACAAACATCAAATACAATAATTACTCAGGCTTACCATTCGAGATTCAGTTCCCGAAAGCTATCAAGGAAGGCCACAGTTGCCTGAGACTTTTAAATCCTCTTACACATTAACCAAGGTGAAAAACAAAAACGATGCCATCCGAAATCGGATTACCGAATTTTGACAAGCGACGCATTTCTCAACCAAAAACCCAATAAACAAACCAGCCATGAATAACAGAAGACTCTTGATAAAAGCTGCATTTCATTTTGTACATCCGGTCGAAAAAGGCAGTTAAAAACATCACCAGTTGACACAAAACTCTGTCAGCTTCAGCTGTCAAAGTAAACAATTTTCAAGATGCTGCATAAATTTTCCGCATGAACTCACCTGTCAAATTTTAACCAATCAGAGCATAAAAATTGGATGTAGAGCGTGACCAACGCGTGACCATGGTAAGAAAATGTCTTGTCCGCATGTATTTTTAAAAAACTGGCTCATTTTTCGCGTCCGAGGTCAGTTTGAAATCAAAATCTTAATAGTGCGGGGCCATAATGACATAAACACAAAGCGACAGACGCCTTTTTTATAACCTCAAACGCGGTGACCATCCACTAATAAGCTTGCTCCCATGGTACAAGGACTGTATTGTAAACCTTCGAAGGAAATCCATTGTCAGGCCCAGCATTAACACTGAACGTTTCAAGGATAGCTTTTTTAATACATTAATTTTTAAATATAATCTAGCTGTGTAAATACCCCATATGTATTTTTAATCAATTTAATCTTTTTTATTCATCTTAGTCATTGTAATTTTTTCTATCGATATATATATTTACTGTAACATCAGATATGTAATTTTATCGGATGCTTTTTAATAAAGACGTTATTATTATTATTATAATTTAATATGAATCA